GAAGCACAAACACAACATCTTATACAGTTTTAGCTCAAGGCAGAAAACTTTCCACTGTTGAAGAAAGGCCAGATATTTTCCTTTAACTGTAGCCTTGCCTGTCTTCTTCAGACAAAGCTCAGCATCCTTATCTTGTTTTTCTACATTCCTGTTTGCTGCTCCTAAGGCTTCTGGCCAACCAAGTTCAAGATGTCCTCATCATTCACTAGCTGTACACCACTCTCAGTTCTTCTTCCCAGACATCCTGCTACACATTAGCATATGTATATAATGGAAATTCAGTATCCCTCTATAACATCTTTTACACAGGTTTTAGTAATGCACATCCTGGCAACACATACTCTTTTGCTATGTATCAGTGGAAAAATGTAAACAAAACCTGGAAAATTAAAGTGACTGGAATACAATGAAATTAATAACCAAATTAATAGCATTTCCTGATTGCAGGTAAGTACTTCAATTTGTGTCTAATATACTTTACTGAGAACACACAGGGACTGAAGATCTCTGCTGAGTCCGTCTCCCTTCCCAGGGACAGGACCAAGTGGGCCTGGGCACTTCCGACAGTTTTATCTGATCTGTTCTTAGAAATTTACAGGAAAGGGGATCCTACAGGTGTGTCACAGGTGAGTAACCTATGCCAATGCTCCACATGAAGCTTTTAATGTAAAAACTGAAACAGAATAATCCTTGCTTCAAAATTAATACTGCTTAAGCTTTTTGCAATTTGATGTTCTAATATATCTAATTGGCTTTTTGACCTGCATTCCTGTTTCCTGGTCAACTTTGATGATGATACGCATTGTTTAAAGGGTAGGAAATGAAATAGCAAGCACTTCAGGCTTTTACACCATCTGGTATTTATTCACATCTCCCAGTAAGCAGAGAACTCTTCCTGTATAATAGAAAATTATTTAAGAATCCATTTTTATTTTTTTGCTTTTCCTTTGCTGGCAATAGCATATTGTCTGTCCCGTTTTGTTCCTAACCTGCTGTGCTGTTCTTTCCTATTTGTTCTTGCCAGTGCAGCCTTCTTGTTCCTACTTTTTTTCAGTATTTTTTGATTTTTTTTCAGGTTTGATGAGCCGCTAATGCAGCCACACTGCTCTATCAGTTTTCTTGCCTTTGCATGAGGATAGACTTTTGTTAAACTATGGCCTGTATTTAAAACCTCTTTTTAGAAGCTCTCAGCTCCTCTGAACTTCTCTTTGCCTTAGAATTCCTTCCCCAGGACCCCATGTACCAATTTCTTGAGTTTGTTGAAGTTTGCTTTTTTTTGAAGTCCACTGTTGTTATTCTGTTTCTTTCATCCCTTTCTTTCTTTTGAATCATGAACTTTGTTGTCTCAAGGTAACTTTCATCTTGATTGCCTTCTACCTTCAGATTTTCAACTAGTTTTTCACTATTAAACACAGCAAAATCTTAGCTAGTAGCCTGTTTATACCAATGAAGTCCACACACTCCTTCTGTCTGATGATCTGTTACAGACCCCATACTATGGTACCTAGCCCTTTTAATTTAAACAAAGAAAAAAACTGTGTAGGCCTGTCTTTAGATTCTAAAACAACTATATACATTTTTGACACACATTTTGATATTCTTTCCCCTTGTCTTTCCTTGCTTCCATGTGCTTGTTTCCTCCAATACTTTGCAACAACATTGTGTGTACTACAGCCCAAGTTTTTTCCCATTATTTCCCATGCTCCCAGCATTAGGTAAGACACCCAAACCTACACATCTAAATTGTCCCCATACCAGGCTCAGACCAAAGCACATCCTGGATATCATCAGAGGGATGAGCAAGCAGGTGGTATGGGTAGGGATGCTAAGCACAGTGTACTGCAATATGTCCCTTGGTCTGGACAAACAAGAAATGAGGCACCATTGGTGGCATTTCAAAATACATTGTCCTTGCAATTTTACATGCAGCCTAAGGTACTCAGTAATTTGTCAGCTATCTCACCTTATGTGTTTGGTGACCTATTTCAGTTCCTCACATCCTTCTCTAGGTTTTAGTCTTTTGGTCAATTATCTTTTATTTAAATAAACTAATTTGGGGGATTTTGTATTTCCAACAATGGTCTTCAACAGATGTATCCCATCTTTGTCCTGCAGTTTACCTTCATGGAGAAAAGTTATTTTGCTAGTGTCTGTGGATCTATATACTCAGCTCTGGAGTCATCTATTCTTTTTTGGCCTTTTATTGTCAAGTCTTTTGCCCTTTCAGTTCCCTGCATCAAAAAATAGAGAATTAGGAGGTACCTTGAGGGGATATCAAGACACCACTTCCCCAGCATAACTGACTACTCTTTATACTCCCTTTTCCACAAAAAAAAAGTAATCCTAGTCTATGTTTGTGCTGCTGATTATCCTGGAACTTCGCATATGTCTCTGTGTAATATACTTTATTTTATTGAGTATCATTTTTCCAAGTTGTCAAGATAATTTTAAATTTTATTCTTCTTCAGCATGCCTGCAGCACCCCACAGATTTATGTAATCTTCAAAAAACCAGAGCATGTCAATGGAGGCATGAAGTAATATCAAATGCAAGCAGACCACTTCAGAGCCTTACTGGACACAACCTTGCATTTTCGTAACAAGCCACTGCCAACCACTCTGTGGTTATTCACACAAAGGTGGATCTGCAGTTTAGCAGTTTTTTCTAGACCTGTTTCCCTAGCTTGTTTGCAAAAAATTCTCATTGCGTATCTGTTATTAAGTGAATAGTTATACTACTGTTACTGTTTATGAGCTTTACGAGATATGATCACAAATAAGCATTTTTTTTCAGAAATTTTAATTCTGAGTCTGATGCTCAGGCTCACTTGTGCCCAGTCAAGCTTTCCAAATTATATTTCTTTGATAATGGCAACTCAAATTGTTTAGTACTCTAAGTTCTTAATTTCATTATGACAATTGAATTCTTCCAGTTTAAAACACAGTATCTACTTTAGTGTCTAAAAGCAGTATGTATTTCACCTATATAATGCCAACATCAGGACAAGACCAATCCTAGTTTTAGCATGAAGGATTCAAGAAATAAAATAATCTTACAGATAAGACACAGGACAGGTTTACAAGACGGATATTCAACCCCCACCTTTTAGGCAAGTTACAAAAGCATCATTTACATTAGACCAAAAATGAATAGACAAAATGATGCAGACCAGATCCTAGACTAGGTTACCACAAAAGCCTGATGCAACATGGTGACTGCCAATTCCACTTGCATATGAGACACTGAGATATCACTGAACAGGAGTCACACTAAAATAGTGGCAGGCTGAAGCTGTCCTGGCATACTTTCAGGTTGTTCATAAATAACTCTCACATAATAGCTAAAAGCCTTCTTCAAACATTGCAATAGAAGAAACTCAAGAGCTTTTCTCTGCAAAGGGAGAGAAGATTCTGCAAATCAAAGTTTCTAGTCTACAGGGGTTGTTGTCACTCATTGATAGATTAAAAACAGCCACATAAAAAGATCCTTCGATTTTTTTGCTGCAGGAATTTTTAAATAGAGATTGGAAAGGTGGAATTGCTCATTCTCACATGTATTTCAGAGAGTTATCAGAGTACATAATCACATATAAACCCCCAATGAAATCTTTCACCACAAATGAGTATTTTATTGGTTCTTAAAATAAGCACAAAATCTCTTGGTAAAAAACTTTTATAATGCAAACTGTAGTAATTTTAACTGTTCCCACTATCTGAAAATTTCTTACATTTATAATAAATAAATGAGGACAACAAATATTTATAGGTGAAGAATACCTGTTAGTGAGGTGAATTCCAAAGATGACCACTCAATCAAGCTTGATTTACGGGGCGTGAGTTTTCAAATATTGTTCAAACCTGCATTTCCAATGTTTGAGACTTCTTCTAAAGTTCAACGTGTATTTTAAAATAATTATTTATAAAGCAAGTTTTGAGAAAGAAGATTTTCTGGAAAAAAAAAAAAAAAGGAAAAACTCTAAACAGAACATAACATGTAATTTAAATGAGGATATGCTTTGGATTGTATTTAAGGAAGTATGAGGGAGAAAACTAATTTATCTGCACTTTTTTCCCCATCATAATATCAAGGATTGAAATGATCAACCATATGTTTAACACCGAAAAATTGTTAGCTTCCTTCTTTTCAAATTGTAGTTTATTAATTTGTTATTTAGAAACATATTTTCTGAAATTTTAACTCTTTACAAATCACATACAGTATGCACAGAAGTTATGAGTCTCAGCAATGCTTATGAAACCAATCCAATATATAACAAAATAATGTAAAAAAACATAAAATCAAAGTTTAGAAGTGGTTGAAAAATTTCTGAGGAAGGAAATTTGTCAGAATCATGAATCAGTGTTGATTCATGAAATATCTTCCAGTTTCTTGGTTTGGGTTTCTATGGAATAGTTCATAGGATTCAAGTGAATTCATCCCCCTTTCCTGGCAGGCTTCTGGAGGTGCTGGAGCCGGAAACTTGCTTTCAAACTCAGCTAGTGGAACTAGGACACAGCTCCCAGCTCTAGCAGGCCTGAAAACCCCAGAGATCCTGGGGACAGACATTTGCAAAGGGACGCAGAAAGCGCACCAATGCACAGAGCAACTGGAAAGGCTCCCAAGGAGCAGACTTCATTTCAGAAGCTCTATGGGTCACTGTTTGAAAAATGAACAATATAAAAACAGAGTGAGGGAAGTGTGGAAAAAATGAAGAGCTAGGACAGCTGGTGGCAATTTTGGCTTAAAGAACAAACTCAATTTTTTTTTCAAACATTGTAATTTGGTATTGGAATGGAAATGTGGAGCCAGACTGCACAGTCCCTTAGTTATGCAACACAATTACTGATGCCAATATTTTTTTGCCAGCTAGATACAACTGAACTTGCTTCTTTGACATGTTTTGTCCCATGTTTTCTTTTAAAATGACATTCCCCACAAAGAGAAAAAACTTTAGCCCAATCCTTCCTGCTTGTTAATCATAAATAAGCAGTACAGTTATATGCTATACATAACTTTATTGTGAAAACTGTGTCACATACGATGTGCATACGTCAGTGTTCATGGACAAAAGCAAACCAGTTCCCCTGTAAAAGAGTGATTTTTTAAATTTTTTTTTCCCCAGTAACTATTTACATTTGTTGTTGTTGTAGGGTGGTGTCTAAATACAAAATCTTACACATCTGAATGATGAAAACACTCCCAAGTCATACCATAACTCAGTACTATGCATTTATAGAAATGTAAGTTCTGATAGACTGAAGCATTATACTGAAGACATGAGATGATTTTTCAATTCTTGTATAGCACCACTTATTGTCATAAACATAATATTTTCTAGATGTAGTAGTTGCTTTAGGTCCTGACAAAACTGTAAGAAACATATGAGCTAATTATCATGAGTGCAAAATAGAAATAACTAAATCCACAAAAAAATTTCAAAAGTCTGACTGGCAACTACATAAAATTAATTTATTAAGATCATGTGATTAGCAAGTTTTACATTAGTAAAGCTTATGCTACTTTAAATTTTACTGTCTTTCAAAGGCAAGGTGTGGTTTTAAGTGAATAGTACTTTTTAATTGAGAAAAAACAAATAACTAATAAAACCCCAATTATTTAAAATAAATGCATATAGCTCAAATATATGAAAAGTATGTCTGAAAATAAGATTCTCATTAACATTCTTAAATCACTGCATTATATAAAGATAGGAGGTAAAGATTAAAAGTTTTCATATTTGGCAATTTTTAGAGAAACAACAACAGCCTTTACTCACCCTTAAGGGTAAGTCAGAGTACTACAATTAATGACATGTTAAACCTACATAGAGTAAATAACAAAATAAATCATCTCAAAAGTAGAAGAAATGCAGGAAAACCCTATTGAGGACCAAGTTCTCCAGTTTTTAAACCAACAAGCACAAAAGTTAGTCTGGTATTAATATATCAGTATGAAAAAGTAACTGAGGATTCTAATGGAAAGTATGGACATACATTAGGTTTGACCAAGGAAGATGAGAAGCAGGTGGTCTGCAATGTATATATTGTCATTATTGAAAAGAGAAAAGGAGAAGCTTTCCTCTTAAACATTGAAAAATCTGCAATTTAACATGTGCATATGCTTTTCAGTCAAGTACAATAGTACAATTTGCAAAATACTAGAGATGTACACATTCCCATTTCTTACATCATTATCTTCCTCCGTCACTAAAACATGCTAAGACAGTTTGCATCTGCTCTTCACATACCTCAAACCATTTTTTTTTCATTTTTTTTTAAACACAGTTCTAGCAAATCACTTTCAGGACAGAGGTCATTTTAGCTGTTTCTGGCCCTTCCCCAAAATACTTGTATTTTTAACTAATTTATAGCCTTAATATTTTGACCTTGCATAAATTTGGCTAGCTCAACAAACTTTCTAGCAATAGCATCACATTTCATTGTCATTTAGAAGGTCTTGTAAGTATAAGCTCTATAAATAGGTTAGCACCAAACTTTTACAAGTTGCAGATTCAAATTTCACACAGTTATCTTCTATTTAATACTGCTGGAGAACTGCAATCTACAAAAGCAACCTTGGGAGCAAAAGCCATAATCAAATGTGCACACATACATGAACACACAAATTGGCAAATAGGAAAAAAAAAAGACAATTTCACATTTACTGTTTTCACAAAGCCATGAGGACAGAAACAGAGCAACAAACTGGTAATATTTAGATTCAGATCTTACTTTCCTTTGGAAACAGGTTAGGCCAATGACATGAAAACCAAAACAAAAAAAAGTTGGCCAATTATTTAAGTCAATTACAGTTTTCAGAATACGCAATGCAAAAACAAGACACACCAACAGTCAAAGCATAGCAGAGGATCTGTGTCCCTAAATTATGTGCACACTGTGACAGGACACAAGTGTACTATGTTTATATAAAAATATATTCAACATTTAATGAACTATGCTTTGAACTCTCCTAGGCTAACTGCAACAGAAGCTGTAATTTTAACTTATTTCCACAGTATTTTTTAGATGTTTGTGGGCTAATTATTTTTATATGCTAAAGAACAGTGATAAAATTAATCATCCTTTTCATCTATACTCTCTATTTTTATTCTTTTGATCTGTCATCCAGTTGCCAGGGATTCAATCCTCATTAGTCAGTATTTTATAATTCCATGTTAAGAAATATAATCATTTCAACTTGAGCCAGTATTTTAAGTCACTTCACTTGAACATTTTCTTGGGATTTGGACCAGGAGATGAAGTCAACTTAATCCAGTTTTACAATCTCTACTTGGAATAAAACAGATAAAATGTAAATAATTACTGAAACGTTGCCTTCATTCTGCGCAGTGTGTCCTGAATTTTTCGAGAATGTCTTTCTGCTGGTATCTGATGGAAGTTGGCACAGTTGTCAGCTGCCAAGGCAGAAATGTCTGCATCTTTAAAACAAGTTATTCTTTGCCTGAGGTAAGACTGCAGCTTGAAATCTGGTGTATATGTGTAAGGATTCTCTTGAAATGCATGAACTTGGCTCACAACTTTTGCAATATTTCTTGAAAGAGAATATGGTAAAAAAGATTAGTTTGTTTTGCTGCTGATAAAAACTGCCCCCCTCCAGCCCCAAAATTCAAAGGAAATTCAAAGGCATTAAGCATTCTCTTCTATAGTATATGTCCTTTTAGTTAGATGTCAAAATGACTGAAACTATTTATACTGCTGTGAAATGTTACATTAGGTCTCATTACCCTATTAGATGATATTCTATTTTAAAAAGTTAGGTGACATACATGCATAATTAAAATAATTACTTAAGTTTAGTCCACTTGTGAGCTCCATTTGTCATTGTGAATCCTCCAGTTTCAAGCTGTTGGACATGCATAGCCAAAACACGGGCTGATGGAATTGTTGGAAGTGTTTTGAATCTTTCTCCTTCCATCAAGCACAAGCTGTCACTTTTTAAAAACACCTAGTATAAAAATGCACACAGACAATTCTCATGGTAAGTATTGGGGCAAGTGTTACAGGAAGTTCTCCACTTCATGTGTTTAGCATTACATATTTATTTGTCATGAATTTTAACTTTTGGCATTGACAACACTATGAATTAATCTGGTGGCAAACATTTTAAAGTACAGAAATAAAGAAAATAATTTTAAAAGATACTTCATTCATAATTTTTAATTGTTCTAAATCACAGCCAGAGTTGCATTTTAGAACTTCACTCTACGATTTAAAACTGGATAGATCAGTAAGAGAATGCCCATGATAAAATAAACATTTAAGATTTTTCCAGTTTACAGCCACAAAGCTCCTGCAGAAATCATCAGAAAAAGTCTATCTAATGTCATAGCTTGCTTTGAAATTTATTTCTTGATTTTTAGTAACACAGAATACATTTTTGTGAAATACTGAGATGAAAATTAATGTAAACTCTCAGATTAAGAGTCAACACTTTTAAATAGAATTAAAATCTCCTTCATAATATAAAGTAATAATTATGGCTTTCATCCTGCAGAGGCACCCATTTAAGCAGATCTTGCATCTTATCCAATCCCAAAGAAGTAGTTTTACATTAAAGACATTATACCATACCTCAACAGCCTTCAGTTCCTCCATTATTTCAGCTACTTTTGCAGGTAAAATTTTCCAGGCCTTACAAAAAAAAAAAAAATTGTTTTTCACATTAATGTCCATATTGGAACAAAATTATGTTAAGCAAAATAGTTACAGAACAGAGTCCCAAACTTACTGGTAACTGTCGTACAATAAGATTTTCCAAGCCTGCTAGGATTTGCATTGCAGTAGCAAAATTTCTTTGTTCATAGCAGCATTTTGCTATAAGAAGAAACTTTGATAACAAGCTCACCTGCAGCTGAAAGAAAATGTTAAGATATACTATATATAAAAATTAAGATATACTAAATATATACAGCAAATCTACATAAATCTACAAGCTAAAATTAAATGAGAAAGAAGAAAGAGAAATGCATTTTATTTTTGAAGTTCTTATCAATGTTGTTGACTTTAGTAACACATTCCTCCAACAGAAAGTTTTCTCATTTCTGTCACCGAGGCGTCCTTGTTAAAGTCTGACATCTATTCTCAGGCAACCCATTTCTTACATTCTACTAGGTTTTGACACCAGCTTCTACAAAACATCCAATACCCTCCTTGTGACAACAAACCAAACTGTTAACTGCTCACTCACAGGTGTATTTCAGAATGTTTCTTGCAGCTTTGCTACACAGCAACTTATATACAATAACAATAAATGTTTCATAATTAATAATACAATAAATCAATGACGAACCTTAGATGTATGACATGTTACAATTTCAGCAGCAACCCAGGTGCTGATACTGTCTGCATTTCTTAATAATTGTAGAAGGTACTGGTCTTGTATGCACTTCGACAGAAACAGATTACACACTTTAAGTGAAACTATCTCAGTAGAAACAGCTCTATGGTGAGAATGGAAAAAAAAAAGGCAGAAATAAATCATGCCAATTTTGGATTTTCAAAGAAAATCTTGATTGTGAAGATGCCAACTTCTAACCATTTAAAATAATTTTGTAGTTCTTGTAGTCTTTTACAAAGTACATAGTGAGCTATGTTACTTTTTCTTTTTAATTACTATTACTTGTAAGATAATTACATGCAATTACAAGATGGGCATATGCAGTACACATTTTTGTACATATAGACACCTTCACCATTTGTTACTAAATAAAACAAACCATCCAATCTGACATAAAGTAACAGCCTGAAATCCAAACTCACTAAAAGTTGCACCCACGTAAGAAATTGAGTCTGATACCTAGTGGCACCACACAGTTTGTTTCCCATGCCTGAACTCCGTATCAGTTTAAACCAGCAGATTTAGACTCTGCCGTTTAATAATCTGTAAAAGATGAGCTGCTTTAGGTGTTCATTCCCTGTCCTTAAACAGAAAAGTCTACTACACATAGTACAATTAACAAGTACTAATTAAAAGCTAGCTGAATCTATTGAGTATGTAAGAAGTAGACCATAATAAAATATAATTAGGTCCATGTGGCTGGATGAAAGCATTAATTACTGTTGAGCAAGTAATTAAAATAGGTTGGTAACCATTCTAATAATTATAGGAAAATTCTTATGTATCTGTGAATACTGATATTTCATCTACCTAACAGTACAAAATGAACGATGCTCAGAGAGTCTGTGAGTCTCCATCCATGTTCAGAACCCAGCTGCACATGATACTGGGCAACCTGCTCTAGTTGACCTTGCTCAAGGCAGGGGCGTTGAACTACACGATCCTGTGAGGTCTTTTCCAACCTCATCTATTCTGTGATCCAGTAATGGTCATTGAGATTTTATATACATACACACAGGTACTACCAAGTATCCTGTTTCAGAAACCATTACAATTTTTTCCAACATAAATAAAACCTCTGAAGCAACACTCCTAACACAAGTCTTCTGAAATATTTTGGCCTGACCCACTTTAGATTTCAAAGAAATCACCTTGCAAATGTGACCTACCACATACATATACATGCATAGGTATATATACATACACATGTATAAAATCTCCTGAAATTCAAAAATTTATGTGAACAGATTATCTAGTCTGTCAAAAATATATTAAGTATTTAAAACGTTTCTCTCTTCCCAGAAGTATTAAAGGTATAACACAGTAAGTTAGTGTGCATTAACAGAATAGAAGGGCAGTTGAAAAAAAAAAGCAACTTACTTTTGGACAGCAACACATTTGTCTTTAACACCAAGTGCTCTTGAATTTAGAAAGTGCACTGGATGACATTTATGAAATACTTCCTAAACAAAAAGAGCAAGATATATCTGTTGTTAGATCTAGCAGTTATAAAATGTTCAGGGATAAAAATGACAGAGGTTCCTGTTCCCTGTCCTGCCTTCAGCAAATTTATCAGAGGAATCACAGCCTAAGAATAGAAACAGCCATTCTAAATTTTACTGTAGAGATCTCAAGGAAAAAACAGATTATTTTAATTGAAGGTTTTATGAAATGGTATGAAATAAGCTTGAAACAGGGTTGGGAAATGGTAGTGATAGGAGATAAAGTAAGAAGATAAATATTATTTGTACTTCCAAGTGAAAGTAGTCCTTTGTACCTGTTGCAGTAATGTCAGCTGACAACAGAGCTGTTGCACACTGTATTCTAATAAGAGATATGGTCCCACTTCATCTGCTTTAGCAAAGGAGACTGGAAATTCTTCTGTAAAACTGTTATAGCATGGCTTTGGCAAAACTGACGAAATAGCGTATAGTTGCTCTTTTTGATATTGTGCAATTGGTCCCATACCTTTGGAAAGTTTCCAGTTAAAGTTCTGTAGGAAAAAAAAAAAAAACAAAAACAAACCAAAAGTAAAGCTACTTCTCTAAATCAAACATGTCTTCCCTTGATTTAACTTTCTGGAATGTTTTGTTAGAGAAACACTATTGTGGATGTAAAACTCTTGAGCTAATCTTCAATGTTAGCCAAGACACTAATTGGTTTAATTCAACATTGCTACTTTAAGCTAATATAATACACACAGTTGATGAGTCTGAGAATGTTACCAGATCTCCATCAGCAGTTGAAAATTCTGTGAATTCAAACTTGCTGCCATGAAATAGTTTATATTCTGTAGTTTATCTCTTATTTTTTCTTGTAATCTTTTTGCTTAGAATCAAACAGCCCTTTCCAAAGAAACATTTGTTTTTCCATTCTTCTCTTTTCTTCCACCTTCCAGTATCATTATGATGCAGTGACAATAAAAGAAGACCATGTTTCTCTATTCTGCTTTCCCTTTACTGGTCAAATCCCCATCATACCCCATGGAATATTTCACCTTTATCAAGAAGCTGATTCTAAATTCAACTTTCGCATTATTGATACCTTTGACTTCCACATGTCATTTTGGTCACTCTGTAGAGATATCTTTTTTCAGGAAAATCCTACAGTATGCTCCAGCTTCTGGGATTGCTTTTCACTAGCACACTATATGAACCAGTAAATACAGACAAAAGTTCATACAAGATTTTTCTACAAGCTTTGAAGTTCTAGCAGGAAACCTCTCACACCTCACTGATTTCCTGTATTTATAGACTTACAAAGATCCACGCCTAATAAAAAGTACTTATGCTTGACAAAGGGGAAAATGTTTCCTTGTAACTATGAGTCACAGGCTAGTATCAGGGATGAAGAGTTCAACTCCTCTCAAAATTCTGATTATCTGATCTATTATTACTGAAACAGCTGACAGGATGTAATTAAGGCTTAAGATGACTTCCCGAGTTATAGAACTGTTTAGGCCTTAGATACTTTCAAAAGAAAATTTAAAATGCAGGTACATAAATTTTACTAAATCAGGTTGTAGACCTTACGCTGGATAGTCTAGTTTTTGTCAGAAAATCATATATGGAAATCTGGTCAAGATACTGCAGTCTGAATTAAAAACATGCCTTTCTGGAAACATCTGAGAGCTTTTTACATAGAGAAAGCAATGTTTTTTTGTCCTCGCCCTCCTCTTCACATTTGTCCATGCTGGAGCACTGATGAGCACTGCCACTTTTCCTGGCAGAAGCATCCTCAAGCAATGACAACAAGCGCTCACCATAGCCATTTAATGGAGCAACCTGCAAATGCAAAACCGGTTAACAGAACATTGAACTCCATTTCCCATAAACCATAAGCAAGACACAATATAGTTGTAAGATTCATGTCTGTCCAAAACCAGACATATTAAGCATAGCTGTCAAAGACAGCATTATTTTTCTTTAACTTTAATTGTAACAAGGACAGGTTTTTGTAATAACAATCTTACATATACCATAACTGACTTCAATAGATTAATTATTTTTTCTTAAAGCTTCTACTGGAGTTCTGACTTACCTTAGAAGAAATAAATTCTTTTAGGGTGCACAAAAGACCAGTATTTGTTGCAAAGTCTACACTGTAGCAGTCTTCAATCCAAGCCTGCAGGATGTAGAAACTGCGGTTACATATTTTGGTAAGTGATGTGGAAGGATCCAGGCTTGCACTGGTGGGAAGAAAAAGGCACTTATTTCACCAAAATTAATATTCAATTCCAATTTAAAAATAAGTGCTGAAAATAACATAAGTATTATTTGGTATTGATTGTACTTTATATTTCATGTCTCTTGAATCCATGGCTCTATGGAAAAGAAGCTGTGGTTGTACTTAACAAGCCATCACTGAACAACTGGCGAAAGTAAGACTCAAGATTCAGAACAAAAAAAGAAGTAAGTACACTGTCAAATATAGCACTTGCTCTAGTTTCACTCTCACTTGTCAAGAGTCTTACAAAAACAAACATCAAAATTTACTTTAATTAAGTAGTTCTTCTCAGAAACAGCTATTGCCATTGGGGGAAAAGTCAACTGTGCTTTGAAAATATTTTTCACAGGAAATTACTGTACCTGGATAAAGTGCTACTGATTCTATCAAGAAGAAACTGCAAAAATTCTTCTTGTGTGCAGAAATATCGAAATGTGTAGAGGAACTGCTGTACATAACCTTCTAAAAATGCATTTCTGTGAAGCACAAGAAAAACTTCAGACAAGCAAAACCACAATTTCTTTTTGCATTAGAGTACTGCAACAGCAAAAAAAAAATCCTCAAAACATCAAGAGTTAATAGGGATTTTGAATTTTCAGGCTCTACATAAAACCTTGATTCCTTTTTATTTTATTTTTACACATCAAATATGTGATTGCCAACACTGAAAGCATGACTTGTTTAGAAAAAAGTTTCTCTACTTGCAATTTTGTGAAGAACTACTTTGACATTTCTATTATTACCAAAAGTTACATTCTAAATAGTATGGAATATTTAAATTTTTTTCTATCATCTCAATTTATGTTGCTTTAAAATTTTTTCTTATAATAAGAGCATAAAAAGTAGATACTTTAAGCAAGAAAATATTTAATGTAGCTCTAATTAGAGCAGTAGTTGCTTTAACAACAGAATATACTTAATATACACACATTAAAAATGAGTGCGTTTTACTTTTTTTTTTATATACATACACACACATACACACTCTCAAGGTCTTAACATGGTTTATTTGTCATGTGTCCCTGATTACTTATGGCTAACAATGAAAGTTTGGGTTTGATGAATATAGAAGCTCTGATTCCAAAACAATTTTTTCACTTTGTGCAGATTGTTAACTATCAGTAAAAAGTGTTCAGGGTAAGTAACTGGGTCTCAGAGTCAGGATGATCTGGGAGAAGTAGCTGGGAGGAAGTCACCCCCTCTAGAGTGTCACAAGTCTGATGGAGTCTCTTAGGCAGTTTCTATCCTTCATACTATTATGGTAGGTACTATTAAGGTACTTTAAAACAACACTGTCCTCACCCTAGTTGAAGGTTAAACAACATTTTTGTCCCCATTTAAGCCCTAAGTCTGCATCTTGATCAGTCCCAAGGACTGAGGCAATAATGTGAAACAGAACATATATGTTTTCACATCCAGATCCTATTAACAAGAATTATCAAATTGTATGTTCTGAAGAATTGTTATACTGCTGGCAGTAACATAAAGCCTTGATTCCATGGCAACTGTCAGAGCAAAACCTCAAATAAGTAAAGGATAAAAGAAGTTTACAGTTATTAGTTTTTGATTTATTATAAAATGCTTCGAGTTTTAATCAAATCTAAACTTAACAGCTTGGCTTATTTCTTATCAGACTGTCTTTTGCCAAGTGTTAACAGAAATAACATTAAGCTTGATACGAGAGAGGAGAATTTATGCAATGTTGAGTAACTAGGATTTATCACAGAGACTATTTTCTCCTGAATTAGTAACTATGCCTGAAACCATTCCCAACTAAGGATGTGCAAAATATACTATACCTAGAATATAAATAAGCCATTAAACCAAGTGGTGTACCGGCCTGCAGAACTCTTATTCCATTTTGATTATTACATTGGTGTTTCTCTGTGCTATAGTAAAGAAGCAATGATGATTCATCCGTAGGTGCCACATCCACGGTGCCAGTTCTCTCATTGTGAATGACTGTAGGCAGCACACAGGATTCCACACCCCACTGCTCTGCATACATGATCTGCTCAAAGATGCAGTCATGAAGAAATAAAATGTAGGGAAATAGAGAGGAATTCACACAAAATGCAGACAACTCAACTTAAAGCCAAATTACATTTCATACAATTGCCTTTTTTTCATTTTTAAATAATACTAGTAGCAATTATCTTTATTTTATTAATTCTTCTAGATCCTACTTATTTTGGCACTTTGACACAAAACATTTCACATTTCATATGCTGACTTGTGAAGCCAACTACACTGATGCAGTAATGAAATGACAAATGAAACATAAGCAAAAAAAAATCTGACTTGCCTGTATGTATTTTTTCACCAGCTCAAGAAACTGCACTTTTGATTTCATCTCCTGTAGCTGACCTCTCAGTTTGGGCAACATAGATTTAGCTTCCGGACCTTCAGATTCAAAGCATGCAGAATAAAAACATCAGTGATTCTGAATTACAGAAAAATGATCCTTAGTAGTACTACACACCCATTTCATTACTGGCAAGTTTCTGTAATCTTACCTTTGCTGCTTCTTTCTTTCTGCAATAATTTCTGGTAAAACTTTGCGGTCTTTCTGTAATTTTTAGTCTCCATCATTAGCGATTGTTCTAGTTCCTATTTGAAGAGAAGACGACTTCTGATCAGAATGATAAATGCAAGGTTCTTAGCAGGAAACTGACGTTTTAGAAGAACTATTTTGTATGAAAAAAAAGAACATCCAAACAGACAAGAATATGATATTAACAAGGAAAAACTCTTTCACACCTGTGCTTACAGGCAAGTTACAGCAGGCATCACCAGTCTCCAGAAAAAGTTAATGCCACAGTTCTACAACTTAAGAACTGGAGCTGGTTTGTGTATGATGAGACTGCATTGAAGTTTGTCTGAATCAGTTAATATAAATATGCCTTTAGTTAAAATTGCACTTATGTAGTTGTTTTCAAGACCATTTTTAAAAGTTACACTCAGATGTCATGGGTTCTGAAATCAGTGCAGACCCCCAAAATTCTCTGTTAAGCTGCTGACCTGTATTTGCATCAGGAACTTAATGTTTTACTGAAAGCAATGGTTTCCAAACAAGTATAATTACATTATATTATACAATCAGGTCAGAAGGCAGACAGGAGAGCTGCTGTATAAATAAAGGACATACCAATTTTGAAGTTCAGCTTACATATTTTCAATTTATGCATTTTACATAATTGAAAAAATAAACTAAATTTCTATAGAATTATATAACTTAAGCAATGAAGAGAAATGAAAGTGTATTTGGCTTCGCACAATAATATCAAATTTAATGTAGCTGTTTATAGTTATTTGCATATCAAAGGTTTTATTATTTTACCAACCAATGAAAATGGGCCATCCACTTTGGGTTCAGCTTCTGAGTTATTATGAAACAACAAACATGATGTGTGTTGTGTTTTATAAAGGTAGTGGCTTTTGCACTTGGGTCTTAAGCTAACTACCAATGACCCAGATACATGAAACAGCATTTTAAATGGAGTAAGTTAACTGAATGCAGCAGGCAGAACTCCCACAAGCAGAGTGATCAGAAAACACATAGCTCAGAGCTAACATATCAAACAACAGATTGGTAAATAGGTTAGCTTTAATGGGATGGACTTACTAGAAATTAATTTGAGTTTTAGAAAACCCTGTCACTGTTTTTCAGAAAAGCTCAAAAAGTTTTAACAACATAGTTAATTAGCAGCAAGTCACAAATGCCCTGTGGATTTTTAAAAGACTTACCACTACATAGGCATCACAGAGAATAGTGAAAGCACAGAAAAGCTATTATCCAGATTCTGAATTGGAAATCACTTGCTTTTATTTAAAGGTTTGTTTTTGTTTCATCAATTAAAGTTAAACCAAGTTGATGAAGAGACTATGAGCACAGAAAGAGAATTAGAAAGAGTGGCTATTTTCTGACACATGGAATCTGATGGACAAAAATGGTTTGACCCCTAAATAACTTCAGGTTAGTAACAATGAAGTCAGTAGCAAATTCCCATTCTAATCCACAACATCTTTCATTTTAGGTATGTCTAGAATATAAACATTTTTGATGAAGCTATACATCCATTTGTTTTGTCCCCTTTGAAGTATATTTAATTTATCAGGACACTTTTCTATAGAACATCTCTTAGTCTAGGGAACAAAGTAATGATTGAGTGACTTTGCTTAAATGGGAAAAATGCAAATTCCAATCTATCCTTGAAGAATAATTTTTTTTATATGCTGAAGGGTGGCTCCACCAAAGGATGCAGAATATTGGCAGAAGGGAAATTAAAAGAGGAAAATAATGGGAAAGAGAAATATGTGGCCAGAACATGCAAAACCTTCACTAGAAATATCCTAGTCACAGCTTGGGTGCACTGAAGTTTGGTGGACATTCTTACAAGTAGCTTATGAGATCTGGTGGATAACTGAAATCTACTGCAGGCAAAGAGGAAAAGGGCAAAGGCTAAGCGTGAAGGCTTGGGGCTGCAAGAGAACTGACGCGAGCTTATTAGACTACAGAAAAAAAAGCTCTTGTCTTTGTAAGTACAGACTTGGACTTCCCCCTGGAGATCTGTCAGCCCTGGTAGCTGCCTTCCCTTCTTGCTCTGCTGTAAGGACTTGGTTTGGTTTGCCTGGACAAACTCTGTATGAGGGTGCAAAACCAGCAGCTCCTGGACTAGAGGCAGGGGACATATACTTGTTTGACTAAGGACTAACTTTCCTAAATGCAGATTAACCTCTGCTGACCTTAAGAACCACAATGAACTATCTGATAAGCACCTACACAGTAAAGTATTAATTATTTTAATGACATTTGGAAGTGTCACCTGGATCCATAAATATTTTATTTTTTTTATGCTAGCTTTTTCACATTCCTCCCAAACATAAGAGTATGTATTACCATTTTTTGGAATCATAATAGCTTGATCAATTCTATTGTTAATATTGTTCATCACATAACAAATGTTTTACTTTTTGCACCTTACCAAATCACAACCTAAGGTGCAGACGACATTCAACAGGCTTCAGTAGAAAAATAGAGAAGTTAATTATTTTTATGACAGAATACTTAATTCTGTCATAAATATATGTTCTGGTACTCAGAGTTTCTCAGAACCTGCACGCTTCTCAAACCTACTTACAGGTATACAAAATTTAAAAAAAAACGTAAAAAATTTAATTGCATTTAATTTTAGAAGGTGAATAAAGAAACATTTGAATCATGTGAGTATTTTCATTGGAGACATAAGTGTATTATTGAGATGTATATGTCTCCAAAACTGTAATTTGTTCTGTGGTTAAAATCTCATTCTGTACTTAGTTCCAGTTGTAGACTAGACTTGAACTGACCAAGCAAACCCATCCCTGTGAAAGGCTAGTGCTACTATGTCAGAACAAATGTAATCAAACTCAAATATCTTTAAACATTCACTCTTTGAAATAGCAAGTCCTAAACAGTGCTTTAGCACACTTTACCCCAAAGCTGTAGAACCAGCTCAACTTCATTGCTAACTTTTTAAAAAATCTGTCAGAGACCTGGGGCAAAAAGCAGTTTGATATAATCCTTGCCAGACAATGAAGACTAGACTACAGTTAATCACAGAACTGGTTTCAGAAATAAATCTGGTTAACAGATGATTTAAACAAGGAAGGATAGGCTGGAGACAAACAGCTCTACCTTGCAAGAGAGGCAGAACTTTCCTCCAGCTACTCAAATCACCTTTGGGCTCAAAACAGCCATTTACAAGCCCTCCTTTGGACTTTGTAGTCCTCCTGGACTGGATAGGGGACACACATTTTCTCTGCTAGATTTTACAGTAAGAAGTTGGAAAATAGAATCATTAACTTTTTTGAGCTTCTATTTGGCAGAAAACTCATGTTAATTTTCACATTGAGACTATTTTATTTTCTCAGTATTTTGGTTCAGTGTATCATTCCCTTGAAATTTGCACAGATCTTATTCATTGTTTACATGTTAACAGTGTTAACATTTCATAAATGCCAATGTTTAACGACCACATTTATTTTCTAAATAAGCTGTACTCCAAGTATAACACACATGAATGTTCATATTATCAAATAAAACTAGCTAAAATCACTTGCTGTAAAAATACAGCTGTTGGTTACATCCAAGAAAAACAATACACAAGGACTTAGAAATGTTAAATCATACCCCATCAATGGTATCATCAACATCCATATTGTTCAAAATGAGATATGAACTGGTCTTTCTCAGCTGCTGGTATGGAGACTAAAATCATGCTATACATTTTCACAGTTGATTTGTAGCGTTTTGTTTGATGAATTGGGCAGCAAAGCGAGCAGAAAGAAGCTGGGTAGAGCTGTTTGTCACCTACATGTTAATTGATTGTCTTGCAGCTAAGAATCATTGTCTCCTGACTGCTGCAACAGCCAAAAAATAAATTTCAGTTTCATATTTTTTCCCTGTCTGTCTTATATTTATTGACCAGTTAAAATTTGTAACAGTTCATCTTGTTTTAAAAATATTGCTAATAGTTTATTTCAGAAATTGTCATGACTGATGAGAGTTTGGAAAACCAGCAGGATTTTAGAAAGCTTTTCTTTGCTCAAGTTAAATGTTCGATTGCTGCAATTAGAGCATTAAGATTCAGTAAGTTTTTATTTTAAACATATTTGGAAGAAGCTGGGTTTCACAGAAAGTCAGTGATGTAGTAAGGCCAGCAGAAAGATTAAAGTTGTTGATGCTGTGGTAGTGAAAGAAATAAAAATAGCCACAAGACCAAAACCTAACCGGTATTTTCAAGTATCTTCTGCTGAATTTGTAGTAAAAAGACACTAAAAAACCATTTTAAATTAAAAATAATGAAATAACATTTAATACAATATTATTTAAAATATTTTTAATATTATATACTTGAACATTCTAGTATACCAGGAGGTTTTTTATGTAAACAGTACAACAGAGAAGATACATATCTGCACATACACATGCTTTTTTGTGAAAATTAGCTTTTCCTTTGTAATGCATTAAAAACATTTCTATGCTATATAAGAGTATTTAATCTTCTGCTAATAATATTTGCTGAAGAAAATGGTGGAATATAAACTGTATTTGATTTCATAATTCAAGATGACAGTTTATAATTGTATTACTTGTAACTTAGACACAAAGGGGTCTCACAAATTAGGAAGACTATTTATGTAATATACCAAGCTTCTATTGTTGGCAAATAATTATTTTATTCTTGTTTGTCCACCTGGCCTTATATGCAGTCCAGATCACATACATTATTTCTGAATTACTGAGACAGAATAAGATTAGAGTCTAATTTTTGTCCAGCTACTAAGATTTCACACTAATTTTAGATAACACAAGGGAGATTAGTTCACTTATCCTCAGAGTAGTATGTATTTTTTTCAGCTATTGGAATGTGCATTCTCTTGTTCTCTAAATGAATTGTTCACTAATTGCTAAACTGAACAAATTGTGCTTTGTATCAATCTTCATCCAGTGGAATGTACTGGGCACAAACACAATATAATTTTCTTCAGAATTACCTCATGACTATTTTCCCCCCAGCCTCCTGCGTGATTGTTAGGTTAGCCAAGTTCTTCTGCATTAATGCATATACTAGCAATATATAATAATATGCATTAATTTCTTAAGCAAATTCCAAAGCAGACTGTAAGCACCATAAATCTTGCTTCATTTTTGTTATATGCCTGTTAAATAGGAAAAACAATTGCTAAGAGCTCAGAAGACAACTCATCCTTTTGAATCAAACTAAATTGCTGAGTAGTCTAAAATCTCAAAGTAAAAAAAGGCTGCCTGTTGAAAGAGAAAAATCTATTTAGATGCTTATGAAAACTCCTTACTTGTCAAAATCTGTTCTTCAGTCATGAATTACTCCTTCAAGTAAAAGAGATTACACAAGCTCAATTTTCTCTAGCTGGCATGCTTACACAGGATTAAACAGCCCTATAGGATTAGAAACAGGAATTTTTGAGTAGATGGAAATTTTTGAGAGTGGCAGTCCTGAGAAGATTTTTAATAAAATTATATTTATTTATATTTACACAAACGAATAGTAGGGCAAGTTTCTCATGCTATTTTTTCCTATAGACTTTCACCTGATCATTAAGGAGTAAAAATAATAATAAATAAATGTGGAACATCCTCAGTGATCCAGGCTTTAACTTGCCTAATAACAGAAAAATAGTAATTTTTGATTTGCCGAAGACTGAAGTGAGGTCACAGTGCTTCAAAAAAAAGAATGTAAATAGATACACTGCAATTTAAACAGGCTATCTGGAAACAAAGAAGTCTAGATCATGTTCTCAGCTGTTCAGTTCTACTTTGTCAAGCTCACTTGAAAAATAAAACAACAAATTCAACTAACTGCCCGTAGTAAGGAAATCCACAAGAGCAGTGCAACTCCTGTTTCATCTTTATTAAACTTGTATCTGGCAGAAACAATAGAAACTAGACAACTAACCATTCTAGGGACACAAGAAGATTCTAGGTGCCCCTATGCTTATAGGTCTTCCAGTATTAATAACTCAAATTTTTCCTTTTCCTTTCCATGAACCAGCTCCAATATATAGATTTCTACAGTTTCATTTATTATCCTTACTCTGTGGCTTTGGACATGAAATATTTACAAAAATATTTACAAACTGAAGTTTGTTATAGATACACAAATGTACAAATTAAGTAAACGTGATCAATATGATCTTTAAGGGAATGGAAGACCTTGCTAACCTAAAACAACACCTCCCCTACCTGTGCTTCCCCCCTCCCTGCTCCCCGAACTACTTAAAAGGCACAAGGCTGCATTCGTCATGATGATTAGCTGTCTCCAAGAGAAGATGTGAGCAAATAAACCATTCTGCTGGCAAACAGTGAGAGGCTGTCAGGGAATTTACTGTGACCAAGGAAAAGGGCTCAGAGCACTTGACATGGATGACCTCTTGAGAGCCTGTGATACACACCAGTCAGTAATTCTTAGCTCTTTTCTATAATATTACCACCATGGGTTTGGTGCATATGGCAGACGGTACTTTTCCAGTCAACTTCAGGAAGAGAAGATTGCTTGTAGCTCAGTGATTATCAATTCAATGTCAGTGCTCTTTATTTTTGAATACTACCTTTACCTTGGTTTATTGATAAGACATCACAAACCATGAGGATATTAAAACACTTAGGAGTCAGTATTTAAAAGAAGAGGGGTTTCAGCTCACTATAACACAAGAGATATTATCATATATTTAACCAGCAAGTAAAGAGGTATCTTAATGATTTTAAATCAAAGTACTCACCACTTTTTTAGCATCTATATTTTGTGACACACTTGATTTCTGCTTTCCAAGGTTTTTCATGTAACTACGAACTTCTGAATCAAAACATTCAGCTCCATAAAATGCACTGCTCCAACCAGGACTACAGCCATGGAAGTCAGGTACATTGGGAGACACAAGGTAGCCGTTTCCAGCTATCTTTATCATGGGCTCTTTCTCTCGCTCTGTATTTTCTTCTGCAAAGCCTGGACCAATACAACAGCCACTGCTTTGTAAACACTGTTGCTCTTTCTCTATTGGGATAGTATTCTGCAGCTTCAATTCTTTCTTAATATTATCTGAAGGTGACGCATCAAAATCCATTTTAGGTGATGATGTATTTATCATAGCTTCAGCATTCACATCAAAGGTTGCTTCCCCTTCTCCTAAAGAAGATGCATGAGGGGGGGCAGAAATAATGGTCATGTGCTGTGATGCATGCTTTGTTGAACTTAAACACTACACATACAAACCACAGTTATGACACTACCTATGCACTCTAACGGTGATGTTAAATGCTTATTTTGGCTCTGTGCTTTCTTTTTCTCAACTACATATTGTAAAATGATAAAGGTTAAAGACATTTCAGAACTATTAAGAAGCAGTTAAGCAATACATTTCTGAAAATTACAAAATATTTTCTGTACATCTGCAATGAGCATTTAAATAAAGCATAGTGCAGAAGCTCTAAAAGAAAAGTTAAATATGTCAGACCTGTGCATGCATTAGTAAAAAGCTTAGCTCTTAAGGCTTTTTCTATCTGTAAGTCTTGAAGCTTTTATTCCATGCAGAGAGGACAATACTATTTGATACAGCCAAAGGGGACATAGATGTTAAACTTCCTACACCTACAGGACTTAATCTCTTGAGCTATGATGGGACTTCTTTGCAGTTACAACAACTACTACCAACCTCAAGGGACTGAGGTGACAGTCAAAGTTCAGTATGATGCTGACAGGAGCTTTTACACCTGCCAGAATTCTCCCTTTTCACTTGAGCAACCCTCCAGGGCTTACATATGCCACCCTGGAGTCAAATGGACCTAAATTACTGGTGCAAAGAAATCACATACCCCATGGGAAAGTCTGGTTCTACATTTGCCATTGTTCTGTGCCAAAATGGAAAATTATAACATAGAATGACAGCAATGTAGTGCAAACATAAAAATGTATGATTTGCCATAAAAGTTAACAATGTCAGGGTATAAGCCATTCTGTAAAGAACACAGAGTTTAACTTCACTCAAAACAGAGAAGTAACCAAGTTTAAATGCTGAAACTATTAGCTGAACTACCTTGAAAAAAACTGAAATACTGATATAATGGCAACGAAATACAAGCTGTCCATGCATACACCAACCATTGAAAGGGTAATGTATTTGTTATAATAATGGAATTTGCCAACCCCAGATCAGTTTTGAGTTCAGTTACTGAAAGATGGAATATTTTGTAAATCTTCAATCACAAAGTATGCCAGGAAAAATGCAAAACTCACACTGAAGAAGTACAAATAAGCAGTCACTAATATAACCTCAATGACTTCCCTGAAATGGTGGTTCTGTAACCAAGTTTGTGATCAAAAGGTAAAACTATATTGATTAACAAATCATTTGACCCACTGTTCATTTTGCGATCTATCTTTAGAAGGGCACTTCAGTGGACAGAATAGGGAAGTGAAGGAATTCCTAGAAGAGACATAAATACTATCCTATTTTACCTGTTTGTGAAAACCCTTCTGATGAATAGTTAAAAATGCCCATTTAAATCCAAAAGTAATCCAGTTTCTAGATTTCTGTACAATTCCCTACCCCAGAATTTGTAAATAATTTTATTGAGAATACCATTTTTTATTTTAATACATTTTATTTATTTTACCGCCTACTGTTGTTTTAATTCCTATAAGTGAACAAAGAAGGACCAGATCTGTTGCACAGTCATCCTTTAATCAATCCTTAGCTTCTTCAGTAACACCTAAGGAGTCGTAAGCATTTTCTAAAGCTCTTCTCTCTGCCTAGCTAAGGTTGTTATGTTGTGCAGAGGTGACTTAGTATGACTGTCCCCCTTCCCTCTCCCTACTTTAAAGCATGTCACTAGAACATCTACCAGATGAACACAAGAAACCCACATGTAGCAGTCAGGATTTTGCAAGTTTTTCAACAGATGCATCTGTGTAAATAGAAGTAAGTAAAAGTAAATGAAACCGGCGTCCCACTCAATGATACCTGGTTATCTGTAAACTTCATATAAGAGACAACAGGTCCCCAATGCATTGATAATGTTTAGATTCACTGATAATGTTAATAAATGCTAAGTTGTGTATTTTCCTGAAGACACACTCAAAGTGCTAATCTCTCAAAACTTGTTTCATTGATAGGTTTCTAGCACACACAAAGATCTAGAAATATGAAGTCCCTTCTCACCCTCTGTCTGATCACTGCTTGCCAAAAAGCTATCAGATTTCCTCAGATCTTGGAATACATTGCCACTCTTTGGATCATCTGCTTCAGTTATGCTGAAAATACAAGAAGATTAGGAAAAATTCATATTTCATATACTTTTATATTTACATCAGTAAAAAGAGATCTTACAAATGACTCCATCATCTATGTGAAGGGTTTCATAGTATTTATCTACCTCCTGAAGTTTGCATGTTCAGCTTCAGTTGTTATTTTACAAGAAAAAAAAATGTAAAAATGGACATTAAAGCACACTGAATAAGATACAGAGATTTTCCTTTACAGCATTTGGCAAAATTCCAACGGAAGTCTCAGAACACATACAAATGGAAAGCGTAACTCCAGGCATAACTTAGACTGCAAGTTACTGTAACGGGTTTTTGACTTAGGATTCAACCTCTGGATAACAGTCTAAGTCATCCCTAATAAGAATAATCATAATTTTAAGTCAAAGAAGGTAACGATTAAAAACTACTATATTCTTTGTCTAAGGAATGTTAAGTAAGTAGTGTCTTGGAGATATTCTGAAGTAGTTCCTGCATGTGATCTAAAAGCTAGATCTGTATTTTTATACTGGTTAATAAACGATGATTGCCTTTTCACTCCTCCTTTCAAAAACTTTACCTTGTAACAAAAGTTCATGTAGGGGATGACCTCTTTACATGTCAAGTAATTCAGCTGCAACAGCTCAAGTTTCTCCTACCATAACATTCAACTCCAGGGACTTAAGAGCCTAACTTCCAAGCAATTTTCAACGGCTGCTTAAAAGTCCCAACCCAAATACGAAATAGGTCAGCATATCAGGGTCTGATGGAGATCACAGTCTATTCTCTCTGAGGCTGGCTGTAGGGATTATACATCTTTTAACAGTGAAATTTTTCTAGACTTTATCTATGAAGCTTTGTCAAAACTTCCAATTTGTAGTTCCAGACCACCACAGACAAAACCCAATACATCCACATATAAATTGATTGCCATTTACGATAGCCTTCAGTAAGTAGCTTTTATAAGTATCATACATTTGGAGGCTGCAATAAAACAAGAATGATTTTTATTATTTTTCAGATAGATATGTCATTGAAGATGAAATAGTAAAAATGAGAAATGAATTAAGCTGGTGTTTTCTCACTTAACAGGTTACTTGCAAAAGATTGCGAGGAAGAACACTGAACTGAATCAAACTAAACCAATTAAGTAAAACATTTCCAGCAAAGCTAAATTAATTTCCTTGTTCTTAGGTGTGAACAGAACAAAAGGATGTACAAAGAACTAAACTCAAACAGAATAAGAAAACTGAATAGTAAGAACAATATATTCCACTTCTGATTAAACAGCCTCTTTCTAACAAGACTATGAAGCTCTCAGTCAATGGTTGAAAACAATATTGATCAGAATTAGGTTTCCACTATTCAGGTAACCTAAGACAGAGTGACAGACAAGCTTAATAGAAAACATTTTCTGCTAAGCAGTTAAGCACTATTTACTATGAGGAAACCCATGAAGTATCAAATAAACTGGGAAATTAACAGTTGGTAGGAAACAAGTATGGATACCTGAAGAGAGGCAGCATATCCTTTCCTGCTTCTAGGAAGTAGGGAGAAAAGCATTAAATTGAACAGTAGAAAGGAAAAAGTTGAAAACCACCTACCATAAATGTAAAGGTCTTTCTCCATTTACTACCTGATAGAGATTCTCCAGTAATTTTTTATCCCAGTAGAGGTCACAAAACTTCTCACAAATTGTATCAGAGAACATACCAAACTTAGTTTCCTTTAAGTTTAAAATGAAGTTACCTTGTTTAGAAAAAAAGAAAGAAATAAACAAAAATGAGAGAAAAAAAAAGACATTAATAACAATATTCCTACACATCAATGATAATAATATACAGAAGAACATGTACATACCCATATCAAAAACTTCAACTCCATTCTCTAGATAGCCATCAAATGCAAACTCCTCTTGTATAAGATGAACCACTTCCTGTAGTGAAGTGTCACTTGTTCTATTCTGCTGGGGCAGGACTTCAACATCAAAGAGATGAGAAGAGTCTTGATTCACTGAGGTACATGGTGTGTGTTCTTTTTCAGTGAAAACACTGTCTACACTGGTAATACACTCAATTTCTTGGCAATTGGTTTGAATAACTGGGCTACTGTTATTAAACTTGTTCTGTGTATTAGTAGCCTCATGGTTTTGCACTTTGCAAAGGGAGACATCGTTTTCTGTCTGTGTACTCATTTTATAGCTTGCAATAGTACTTGAAAGTAGCACTGGCAAACTATGATAACAATCATAAGCAATTCTTGAACGAAGAGGTTTATTTGGTATTTGCTCTGATACAGCTAAATGTACTGGTACAAATGTCAAAACCCTTTTCTCTGTGTCCTGTTTGAGAATGATGTTATTTATATGAAGAAAATTAGGAGATGTAGGACAAGCTAAGGAGCTGGAAGGAACTTCAGATAAAACGCTCTTTCCCTGTAGAATATGTGAGGAATCAGATGGTGATGATATTGTAACTATAGAAGTAAGTGCATTGCCTGACTCTTGCCCTTCTGAAGGTATCTGGGATGAGTAGCCTGAAATTTGTAAATCACATTCAGGTATTCCAGATGCAGTTTCAACAACATCTGTGTCCTCAGTACCATAGATTTTAGAGTCTTCTGTATATCTTGATTTGTTGTGGTCCACATATTCTTTTCTTGTCTCTTTCTTGAATTGCTCAGAAACTGGTGTGTGAATCTCTCTGAAAAGGAGCAAAGAATTTCTTTTTTAGGACAATTTCAGTAGATTTAACAATGAAATCTCAAGTTTAACTTATTCTGCTCTAGGATATACTAACTTTGTTATATTTGCATTTTGTTGCAGAATAATAGGCTTAAAATGAGTTGCAGGAGATGTGAATGCATCAGGTAATGTAGCTTTCTCACAATTTAGAGAAGTCTGGCATGGTATTGGTCCTTTAACTGCTACAAGTTTACTTGCACTGGTAATAGGCACAAATCCTAAAAACAAAAACACAGTTAGAAAGATGAACGATATGTAAAATACAAATGCAAGGTAAATAACAATCAATATAGATAGGAAAATAAAAAGAATTGCATAGCTAAGCGAGAAAATCTTACATGGAGAACTGATGTAGAGAATACTAAAACAAAGCAAACATGTCACGGTCTGATTGCTTACCTAGACTTGACTCTGAAGGGTCCATTTCATGTCTTTCATTTTTAAATTCAAAAGCAACATGATCTTGAGATGAAATTACTTCTTCCTCAACAGCCTAACAATAAAAATTGAAGTTCAAACTGAATTTATTAATCAGCATTTTCTTTTTTTTAAATTCTACTCAGCACATTACTTCAAAAAAACCCCAAACCCCATAGAAACCTAGAACGTTGCAAAGCAACAACCTAGTTATGCCAAGATGGAGAATTAAAACAAATTACATAAAAACTCTAAGGACTAGTAGAACTGTTTGGAAATCTTGATGACCCTCTGTTTCAAATCAGAACTTTTAGGTAATCAAAGTTTTGAACAAAGTCAGTTTCATGGATTGACTGAACACTGTGTGCATTACATACACGTATTTGAAATATAAACATAACACAAGAATTACACATTAATATCTTCCGTTCTCATAAGAGGGGTGGTAAATGAAAAAGAGATTATGAAATTAAGTCACTCATTCTTCACACATACAGACTGTGGAGCCAGGACACCAAAACATGGGGAATGACCACTCCAACAAGCAAGAACTAGAAAAAAACAATACCTAAAGACTAGTTGAAAATAAATAAACAAAACAGAAGAGAACAATTCTAACTGTATTTGCAGGGGACAAAATCTTACTGGAATACAATTTACAGAATGAATTGAAAAAAATGTAGAGAATTAAATAAGGTGGCACTCTTACCTTAAAGACAGATTTATTCAACAATGCCAAAATATTTTTGCTATTTATACCTTGTTCAAGTAAATAATGATTGCATGTCTAAAAAAAATTAATAAAAAAATCATAAGTTTCAGTCAGTAAATAAGTTTTCAATGAGATGAGGTATTCTTGGACAATGGCAAAGTCAAGATAAAGTCAGAAGTAATCTAAATTTAGGAAGCCTTAAGAACTTATTTTGAGTACCTTATGGACTATTTCAATACAAATTAAAAACACACCCCTCTGTGTCCTTAGGGAGGTAACTTTAAAAACAAACCCCAAAGTGACTGGTTATGATTTAATTAGGTATGAGTCTATTACCAAAAGGAAATTAATATCTTAATATTCAAATCACTAAAATGAGACTTTAGATACAACTAGATTTCATGTAAAATTGCTTAAATTAGTAACCTTAATTGCATCAGCTAGAGAAGGTCTTTCGTCAGGGTTTTTTCTTGCCATATCCAGAAGAAGATTTTTTAATTTTCTTGGCAATGTTAGTTTGTGACTCTGTGGAATACTGTATTTTGCAGCCATCCACAGAACTGCAGCAACACCATAAATGCAGACCTATTGGTATAATGTGAGAGACAGGAGAGATGTAAACAGACCAAAAAAAGCTTCCACTTCAAAACCAATTCCAGCAAATTATCTAAAAATTCCCCTCATTCCCCACAAAAAAAAAGATAATGACTAGAGCTTCCAAAGTACTGATCACACTTGGCTTTTGAAGATGCTGATGAAAATCCCAGCCCATTAAAAAAAACTGCTGTTATGCACTCAGGACCAATAATAGTAGCTAATTTTCTACTGTTGGAGAAACATACATAATTTGTCTTATCCTTTGTCTAGGAAAATTAGTCAGGAAAAAAGTGATTTTAGAACCATTTTGATGAATTCTTTTCTCATTTAAAAACTTAGATTGCTGCAAGGCTTAGAGCTCTACCATAAAACCTGACCAGCTGCAATGTACTTAAAAAAGGTCATGATAATCCAGCAAGTAAATGGCACACAGTAATTACAAGCTAGCCAGTATAAGTCATATTTTACAAAGAAGATTACATCTATCAGGAGAACAAGGTACTGTATATTTATTTTAGCAATTATTGTGATAGCTGCAGCTAGACCAACTGAAGTTGTCATGATGAGGGACCTTGAAAAGTACTTGATATTCACACCCTTTCTCGTTTTATTTGAAGAATTAAAATTTGCAGACTGAAACAGATTTAGTCTACTTAATTATATATTAATCATGTAATTAAGTTAGTTTACATATGTTAGCATGTACTACAAATGCAACTTTGACAAAGTTAAAGAACCATGCTTCTTCACATTGCCTCTGAAAGATATTAAAAGGACTCAAGGAACAGAAACTCAAGTACAGTACTAAATAACATGGTCCTATAAACCAATGTTTTCTATCAGCCTTTTGAGCAAAGCAAACAGGAATGAACACAACGTAACAAGGGATTTCACTATAAAGCAAATAACCTGTTAACCATTTGAACTGTTGAACAAAAGCTACTAACAGGTACAAAAATATGTGAAATAGGAGAAAGCAGCTCCATCCAAACAAAAAAATGTTCTTCCCCTCAGGCTCATAACTCTAAGAGGTCATTGGGACCACAATCATACCCTAAATTTATTATTTAGGAAAAACTTGCCATCTAATCCAACATATCCTTCAAAAAAGTTTCTTTTACTGAAGTAATACAGTTATTGTGACTGTCACTAAACAGTCTTGAGTCCCATACCATAATTCTAACTAAATGTTCATAATAACCAGAAAGTTACACAAATATCAGTAAAAAGCAAAAAAACCCAAACCCCCAAAAACAAAACCAAAAAAACCCTGGTCAGCTAGTTCTATATATAATGTTGTAGAAAAACATGGAAAAAAGATTACTTCTGATTTTCTAAAAAAAAAAAAGAATAAAGCATGAAGGCTTTAGGTTTATTGATTTCTAATGTCTGGTAAAACTGCTATATTATATTTCAGTGTTAGTTTAAGCTTATGAAGCCTTTGAAAAACCTGTATGTTGGATCAAAGCAGTTTAAGAGGAAAAAGCAACTTTAAAGCATATAAGCATTTTCTAGTTCCAGAAAATTTTACAGAAAGGCAAACTCTCTTTAGTAGATTTTTAATGATTTTTTTTTTTCCGATTCATGACTGTGTCTAATTTTAAAGAACTCACGGGGAACAAGGTACATATTAGCTAACCTCTTTTCTTGTTACATAATAGAAAGGTACCATAAATTCTGCTTTCCTAACTCGTAAGATCACTGTGGTACAGTTTGCAATTCAGATGCAGTTGCAGTGGAGACAAATACCTGCTATTTATTAACATTTTTATCAACTTTGGCCTGAAAGCTTCTTATGGTTTATATCTGTAGCAGAAAGCTCTAGGAAAACTATATTGGTAACAGACGTAATTCATAATGTTCCCATAGTAAAAATATGCCGATAGTGATATTTTAATCCAATCTTCCAAATGAAATTAATGTTCAGGATTTAGCCTAGACAGTCTAAAATACAGATCTGAGTGGGACCTCCAGAATGTGAAAACCTGACTTCGAAGTCTGTCCTACTGCTAACAAACTGAAAATAATTAAGCCTTATGGAAAAGTATTGAAAAACAGGTTTCTGGCAGTTACTTGATTTTGTAAGGCAAAATTATTTTTCAGAAGCAAATAATTTTATGGGAGATCAATATATAAAAAACCCACAGATAACCAAGAAATACTGGGAGAGGTGAGAAATATTATCAAAATCTTAGAAGAATTTCACTTTCTTCTTCAAGCAGCAGAGAGATACAACTGTCCTTTGGCAAAATGCATACCAACCTACATAACCTACCACATTACCTTCTCAGTATCCACATTCTCTTCTTCAATTTCAGGAGCTAAATAAAATATATCACAAGACTCTAGATGAGAAAAGAAACCAGAAACAAAAGGTAAGATACTTGCTTTCTTCTCCCCTCCCTCCCCCACACCCCAAACTAAAAGCAGAGTATGCAATGTGTTAGTTTACCCTCAGCTTTTGGAGCAGCAAAGAGGATACTTCCATGGCAGTCAATCATCACAGAGTCCAAACATAAGACCTCTGCAAACAAGCCACAAAATAGCAAAGCATAATAAATAACTGTTCTTGTAACTATTTGATACTAATAAAAAGAAATTAAATTATTTTAAAAATAATATGCAATGTCAGCAATTACCCTATGGTAAATGATGCACTAATGCTAGAACAGATACCACCCAATAAAGAGACAGTAGATGCATAATCACCTAAAGCAATTCCTGAAGAACAAAGACAAGGAAGTAAAACAAAATGGGATCACAATAAACGAAAGGGCTTAGAATAACAGAAGTTTATTCACTTTATACCCAGCTTTGAAAAGGAAAAACAAGAAAGGAACAAAACAAGAAAAGAAATACGACAGCTAGATGTCCTCTAGTCTCACAAGGTACCAATAAAAGACAGTCAATTTATTTTAAGCATTTAATCTCTCATGTCTTCCATCCTTTAACCCCACCAAAATATAGGGTCATTATCTGGAAACAGCTGAGACATATGTGGCCAGATTCAGAACTCCTCTAGGTGAGATAGGATATAGAGCCCAGTTTTGCACAAATAATCACACATACTCTCCCACTGAAGTGCTATGTAGATCGGTATTTGCAAGGCCCTGAAATTTTCCATAGTTAGAAGAGAAATAACTGACTTCCAAAACTATTTTAAATGATCAGAGATCTTCAGAAAATTAACATTAAGGTCATGAGATTGTGCTATATAAATGCAGTGATGAAAAACTTGTGGTAAGACTGTGTCAATCTGGTATCTTCAAAGCACACTGTAATTTAACATGTTTCAATATAATAAGCCAACTGGCTAGCAGTGTAGTCCTGCCTTTGTAAACCACCATCAAATATGCTGTATTCTTATTAAAAAGAGTACAAGGAGAATAGATTCTTATATTAAATTTTAATTTAATTTAATAAGAGGTTAAAACATTACATTTATTAATTAAATAAAAAAATATGTCTAAGAGTAAAACAAATATTAATTTATAATTAAATAATAAATTGGAGAGGTCTAAGAGAGAAAAATAAAGGAAGAAAAAAAGGAAAGAATCCTTCTGCTTTTGTAGATACCTGTACAAAACATATCTAGAGACATTAAATTGTTATTATGCTTAATATAAATAAAGGCTTGAGTACTACCTTCTATAATATTTAAGCTGGACCTGGACTATGTGTCTTGAGAAGCAAAGCCTTCCTAAATGGGAACCATTATTAGTTATTTTTGCAGAGGCAGCTCCCCTGAGAACTCTTTATGCTCATCATCTTTGCTTCTCAAGAGTTAACACCTCCGGCCCTGAATCTGCAACACGGTTCATGCAAACCAGATCTCAACTTCAGTACAACAGAGAATTCTCCCCTGGGTTCACGTGCCTGTGAGCAACATGTATGAGACATCCTCTGATAAGAGGAGAGGAAATAAGCAAAGTCGCATGAAGGGTACGAATAACTTTTGTAACAAGATTGAATTAAAAAATGCATGCAGAGGCTAGCTTTGGGGTGTGTTTTCCTACCCAGATAATTCCTGTTTAGGATAATGAAAAAATTGTAATCATGAAAGGATTTGGAGAAAAAGGCTAAGTGAATAAAAAATAAATAATCCAGTTTGTTCCACATTTCATATATTTAACTATGAGCCATCAGCTACCAATCTTACTCTACCAGTGTTAAGACAAAGGATATTTTAACAAACACTTTATATGATATCAGCTTCACTTTTAAAACTATTCAAAAGCAATGCTGACAGAACTCTGCGTGTGTGACCACTATAAGTCATTCCACAATGCATATCCACTCTCAGAACAAGCAGAGAATTCTCTGGCAGAAATATGCTAAATCTGAAAACAATACTCAACTTGAAGGTAGCTTTATTTGTCAATATGAAATTTTAAGTAAGGTGCCTTCCATTTAGTGGTCTGTATCATTATGTTCATTTTTACAGGCTACATAAGATTCAGATTATAACTCGGTCTATATTATTTTGAAGACTTATGCATTCTGGGTGCATGTAAGTACAATAAGAGGCTGGCTAGATATATGAAATTAGAAACTGAGCCATTATGTGCAGTTATTTGAAACCTTCACAAACATTAGGAACATGCTATGAGGCTGAAATAATCCTTCTGTTGCAAGGTATATCAAACTTAGTTTTAAGGGTAACACTGTTTAAAGTGCTCAGAAATTACCACTTACAGTCAATTTATTTTTTTAACAGTTTTATATCATAAAACAGCTGAAGCTGAAAACCAAAGAGATTCAGTAAGTTTTCTGTACCTTACTATCCAGTTGTGCATATTCAGTTACAGACTTCAAAATCATCCCTGTCCAAACCCTCAAAAGCAGGCTTTTTAAATCAAGAAAAAGAAAAGGCAGGGTGGTGGTGATGGGAACCTCTGTTCTGTTTATCAGAACTGCTACAGAATTATTATTAGTATAAGCTAAACCAACATTCAGAATGCCTATGGAAATTTAGGATGGTCTTCTGCCAAGTCACATACAGCATATTCCAATTCTGTCAAAAGACAGTTCCCCGTTCCTCTCTCAGAAGTTGACTTCTGATAATTCTCCTATAAACTGAAGCACAGGGAATGTGGAAGGAGTCATGCCATGACAAGAATCTGGGTGTTTTGAACTGACAAAGCTCTGTATTGTCACAAATACATCAGGAATCTTCTGTCACAAAGAAATCTGAGCAAGAGAGGAAGTTTTAAGTTTACATATATATATAAATTATTCCTCCTGTTTTCAAGATACAAGTCCCAACTGCTTTTGTTAAAAGTCACAGTACAATTTCTCCATCCCCAAAATGTCTAAACACAGAATTAGTTTCACTGCTTGAAGTCATAAAGATTTGATTTCCCCTCAAAACCCATCAAAACTCAGAATAAAGAGAAAAGATGACATTCTTCTATATATGGAAGAAAACTCCAAACTGAGTAAAAATTCTCAGTCACAATTTAAGAGAGTGAATTTAAGTTAGAAATGTTGCCTATTATTTTTTCTGTAAACGAAATTCATGTTGAGACATTTTGCATCAATAAAGAAAACATTAACATAGTGAACATAAATATTTCAAGCAAATAGTTAAGATTTTAAGCAAGTATTTTAAGATAATTAAGACTATACCTGGATAATCTATGCAAGTCTGCAGAGTACATAAACACTCATGACATAATGCCCAGAGTTCATAGTCTTTCAGAGGTTTACCATACCAGGACAACAGTATTTTTAGAGAGATCCACTGAAAAACACAGTGAGGACAGATAAAGTTATGAAAAACTGTCACAAACCAAAAATTGTTTACTGATGCAAAGAAGTAGTAAATCTTAATAGACAATTCACTCACCTAAAAAGCATTAAGAAAAGGTATTTATTGCACTTGCCAGTAATGAACTAGTAATATAACTTATTGAAAAAGCATTGTACAGTTAGCTAGCCGTATAGATGAAGCAGTAGTTTCTTAATTGCATGACAAAAGTGTAATTAAAGTGAGATTGCAGCAAGAGTAGAACTGTTTCAGGAAAAGTGAGCTGTTTCAAAGCTCTTTCTTATCATACTAAAGAAAGACTCTTTTAGAAAGTCAAAGATGACACATAATTATAAGGACACCACCTAGATTTAAAACCACAAAAATAGAAATTATCATCACCAACAAAAAATTTCCCACATTCAAATCCTGATTTACCCTAACAGTTGCATTACAAGTCTTACCTTAAACATTTCATCATTTTTTGGCCTTGTGTGTAAGATGTTAATAATATTGACAGAATTAATGACAGGCTTATTTGAAGTCCAAGCACATTGTTCTGGTTTTAATTACTGGCTGCTCAATTTGTAGTAATAGCATTTGTATTTCTGGCTATGAATTTAGCTTTTGGTACCTGGCATAATATCTTAATGTAACAAAGATACTGCTCCATAGAAACTTACTGTTCTTCAGAGAATCCATGTTTTGCATTTTGTGATTTTTGGGGGTGGGGTGAATATAAGAACTTGACGTTGATAGTACTGCACAGACACCTTCCCAGTCAAGCTGTGCTAATAGAACAGCTTGTCACTACTAGTGGCTCTTGACATCAGCTGGACTTTACCGTCTCCATTGTTCTACCAAAGGAACAGTAAATTCACTGAATTCACTGTAGGCAGAAACCTCTGGGTTAGAGCAGACCCATTCAACTATTTTAAAAAATAGCACAGCACATATTCTGTTGCATATGCAGCCCTAAGATAGTAAACTATCTCTAAATGACAACTTGAGGCCACATTGGGGAAAAGAACTACCAGAAGCAATTCAGGATTAACTGGAAAAAAACCCCACAAGACTGGAGCACTGGAAACAGAAACAAAATTTAAAACCTCTGAACTGTTTGGTTATTTTTACAGACACCTTTGTATCCCAATCAATGTTTGTAAAATCTAAATAGACTAAGGGTCTCTCCCACATACAATGGTAGTAAATCATTCTGTTTGACGAATCAGTCTCTGCACCACCATTTATTGCAGTCAATTTTTCATGATCCTGGCTATGAAACACCCTTCAGTGAGGCACTATTTGGATTTTATGATAAAATATGTAATGAACAGACTATCACATTAACTTTCATCAACATCAGCAAACACCTTCCTTGCAAACTATGGGGAGGAAAAAGAGAACTACATTAATTTCCCTAGCTGAAACTTCATTGATAATTTCATTTTTACCAGAAGACCATCTCAAGGAATGTAATACTTTGTAATCGTATTGTTTAAATATTTCTTGAAAGTGAACCAGATAAACTATACATTTCTAACAAGAGGTACCAGAAAACACACCCTTTGATTTACTTAAAATGTTTTATATTCTTCCTACCTCCAACACACATAAAAATTTATTTGGTGATTTTATTCTCTTATGTTCCATTGTGGCACACTGCAAAAATTAGTAACTTCAGCACTGACAGATTTGAAGCCAGATAATAAGGTTAAACTTCATTCTCAAATTTTGATATCACCAGCATCCTAGAGTGCAAAATTCTTTCATCAATGTCTTCCTTCATTATATCTAGAAAAGTAAGCTCTTGAACTGTCTGATAAAAATATATCAAATACACCGCTAGAAGGAAGAGGCCAGATAGTCAAAGGAATTAATTAATCTAGGGAATATTCAAGACCGAACTTCATACTGTTATTACTATCCCTGATCAGTGCCGTGTTCCCCATCTGTAGCATCCTGGTTCTCACATGCCACAAATGTCTTTGCGCACAGACAGTACAATTAAAGCAGCAGCTAGATACTTCAAATTCATCCTGTACAGCTGACACGATGAGAAAGAAATCAGAAGAGAAACTCCACAGACCGACTAGAACATTAAGAAGGTTTGGGGATTTGGGAATATTTTTGTAGTAAGTACACACCATTGCCACATGTTTTTCTGTAAGAGAAACCATCTTCTTGAAGTTTATGTCCCTAGAGGCTCTAAATGCTGCAACAGAGAAAGATGGACTTCCTCTATCCCATAAACAAATAATCTCTGACTTCAGGAAAGGTGATGAATGGCTAGCAAGGGGAAGAAGAATGTCTCACTAAACTGGAGACTAAAGTTAGTTGTACAGCAGAAAGCTGTACATAACTTCTGGGACATCTAAGCTTTCTAGAGGACAAAAGAAATGACAGAAATAAATTTAGGCAGAGCAAGAAAGTAGGAATAAACCCTAAGAACAGCAGCAAAAGTTTATGATAAGAAAGAGGAAAGTGTCAATGATAGATAACAAAACAGAGGTTGAAAAGGCACCAGAAACAAATTCTATTTCAGAAGAAAAAAAGGATGTAAGAAAAGCAAATCTTAGTAGAAGTGAGAATCACTGCCATCTATAGGATGACCAAATTAACCTGAGTCAAGAAAAAAGGATGCAGTCTGGTTACAGGTTGTTGAACTTTACTTAAATGTATACTCTCAGTGTTTCACAACAGAGGCAAGCATCCTTAAAAAAGATTAAACTTCAAATATTAATATTGCTAGCTAGTATTAATATGCTAGTCGTTCTGCAATGCTAATAACTAACTGCATTGCTATTGTCTCTTAATATAATTCAAGTCTCTCCCTACCTCGATCCTATCAAAAGATTAACTTTATTCCTGAAAAATAGCACTGAGAAGGTCATTCTAATGTTCTAATTTTTCCAAATGCTCACCTTCCTACACCAGAAAGAGAGAATTCTGGAAGACTTCAGATGAAGACTGAGGGTTCAGACCTGATGGGGACTTGTCCTTCTAACACCTTGTAAAAGTTATCATGTAACTTGACTATATCAGATAAGACATGTTTCATCACACATTTAAATGTGATGAAAAACACATGCAGTCTGGTTAAAATAATTTTCAAAGGAAAAATAATACACTTCTCAAGCTTAAGAGGTAATTTTTATTCAACCCTCAAACCTTAAATAGAGGTATTTAATGCAATGCACATTCGAATTCCACTGAACCTATCTATGTTTTACTAAACATGTGAGTGTAAAACTCCCTTATTTAGGCATCTGTCTCAGGTTTGGTTATTTCGTTTTGTTTTTTCAACATGCAAGTCTCCGATTCATAACTATTACTATTTCCTACAACTTTAAAAAAACCCACTCCACCACCACAAAGAAAACCTGAAGTGCTGGAAAACACATGATTAAAATTTTTTGTCAGAATGCCTGTAGCATGCATTGTTTTTTAAGTATATTCAGACATTTTAGCAAAGCAAGCTCAAGACAACTGTTCAGCATCCATAAGGCCTCAAGTCCACTTCATTTAAAGCATTAACATTAATACTGATATAAAACATTTATTAATATATTATCACCAGTGAAACTGCACCAAAGAGCAAACAAAATTATAATCCAATGCCTTTTCCTGAAATTTTTTCTTCACATTCTAAATGAGATATTTTCATAATAGAAATTATATAACCCGTTTTTTAAAATAAGAAATGTTTTTCACAGCACAGAAATTTTGACAGAAAATATGAAAAAGCCACACACAACCGATTATTGCTTATAGCTACATATTGGTGACATTTTGTTTTATGCTAAAAAGATTTTAAACCTCACTTGTTGAAAAAGTGATGTTTTTTTCTTCAGTGCTGTGAAGATCATTTAACAGATCTTTTATTTCATCGTTGGTACCAGAACTGTAAAAGCTTTTAGTAAAGCAGTCAGACTATGCCAACATACTATATTTTATGAACATAATGCTGGCATATTTTAAACAGCCCAAGCAAGCAGGATTTTCATTATTCTTTTCTTAATAAGTACTATTCTGGGAATTGACAACTTTTCTTTCCTTCAAGTGTTATTTCCCCAGTGTTCAAGTGTCATTCTCTAGATACATGGCTTTTCATTTCTCTCATGCTTGACTGGGTATGAATGACCAACAGAAACCAAATGTGTATATGCCAGGTTCCCATTAACCCTTCCCATTTAAAGGCCATAGAGTTTGAATCACAGAGAAACATTTAAAAGCATTAGAGATAAGACACACCTAATTGGAATGAAATTGGTTAGAGAAATAAAAGATCCCCACTCAAACTTGAAGTGAAAAATATTTATTTATGGCATGCAAAACTATAAAAATTACTAGGAAAACCCTCACAAGATACATTGCAGCAGCCAGACAAAAGCAAGTAAGTATTTTTAGTAATGCTTACTAGCAGTAAAGCACACAACATTAAGCAGCAGTGTTGGAGTATTAGAAAAATATTGTCCACTGGAGAAGTATTGACAGGCAAGAAAAACTGTCTGTTCTCCAGAGTAGACAAGGTTGATCTTCAACCGGATGGGACTGGTATTGCATTTTCTCTAAAGAACAAGAAATAATTAAAGAGATGCTAGATATACTATTCTAAAAGATCTATTTGCTGTAATCATGTTTATCTGTTATAGAAAACTAGTGAAAGAGCAGCACTGTAAATCTTCTGAGGTGTTTTTTATTTAGCCCAGAAGACAGAAATCACAATAGTTCAGGCTTCACACTCTTTGTAGTAAACGAATAAACTCCCACACTCAAGTTTTAGCTTCTTAAAAAAAAAAAAAAAGTCAAGCATTTTTAGGTATTTGGTAAAATTTTGGCACAGAGAAATTAAAGGGAACTTGAAAGAGAGACATCAGTTGTAACTTTTTCACATAAGGGATAGCACAGTATGGCTTTACTTTTGCAACTGTCAGGAGGTAAGTCAGAGGCAGAAACTGGTATGTCTCAGAAGCCTGAGGAATAAAATCGGTTTTCCAAAAGAAAAAGAAGCTGAAAACATTAAAAAAACCCCAACCCTTCTCTAGGAAGACTTATAATAGTCTGCCATACAGTTCAATGACTACTGAGAATGAATGACCTTCCTTCCAAAAACAATAATTACCAGGCTAGAAGCTCAGCATTTCAGAAATATGGCTGTTCCTCACAGATGTTGGTATACTTAAATGTTTTTTCTCCCCACAGCAGTTAAATAATAAAAGAAGGTGGCATTCATTTGTTTGTGTATGGGGTTTCGGTTGTTTTTTTGTTTGGCTGTTTTTTTTCAGACCAATTTAGGATTTCTCTAAAGAGCATAATACTTTTATGTGGCAGAATCTGAAGATTTGCTGGAATTGATTACTAAAAAAAGACTACAGAGACATGAGTCTATCAAACCTTTCTTTTACTGAAACTACACCTATAAAACTCTGGTTTCATAGACAACAACCACTCTGCTGTCTTAATTTCAGATCATATGTATTATAACACTGCTTATTAGGGTGACTGGAATAACCTTTTCTAATTCACTGTGATTGCCCTGTGAATTCAGCAGGAGCAGGATAACCTCGCTTATATTCAGAGCCTACTTATTTGGAAAAATTACATTCTGTTCAGGCTGAAAGAACACTTTATTTAAAATTGATGATTAAATATCTGAAAAAAAAAAAAAGAGGACTTCAGAAGGATGGTAGAATAGCCTGAAAACATCGTTTTGGTTTACTTTTCTGTGTACCAATCTCAATTGCTGATGCGGAAAAGCAAACAGGACATTTGTTACGGCTTTTAAATAGTGCAAGAATTTTGAGTAACTAATGCTGAAGAAGATTATTTTCTTGAAAGTGTCTTCATGTACCCAGACTTAAACTGTTGTCCTGGTAATCTAGTTAGGACAGAATATAGGTCTTATTTCAACAGATTTTTTTTCTCAAAGAAGAATCCCTATCACTGCTCTCAATTTACATTCTTAAGTGATGGCAGCTTATTCACCACACTGCTCTAGTTAACACTAAGGCCTAAGTAAGCCCACTTCTACTTCATGACAAATGACTTAAGTGTGGTACCTTTATTTCTTGGAATGAAGGAGGAGAAAAACAAAACAAAACAAAACAACAAACCAGAAACCACCACCATAAAAAACAAAACAAAAAAACCCCAAAACCCAACCAACCAGCTGCAGTGGTTTTATAGTGGTCTGATAGCCTTCTTAGCCATCCTCTCCATGACAAATAAACATGCAAATTAATTCCTAGGTTTATACAGTTTAGCATGAAAAAAAATATAAAAACTCCATTCAGAAAAAAAGATTTGCACATAAGATGAAAGACAGTTTCCGCTGCTTGAATACTAAGACATATCTAGATTTCTGTATACTAACAAGCTTTCTCACAAGAAGTCAGTGACTGAAATTGCTATGATCCTTGCTAGAAATACAAGCACTTCTACCAAACAAAGCAGGTTCATGTAGATCCAGAGTAAGAAATGACATGACAAAAGCAGAAGACTTTGGAATGATTATAAATCTGATTATTACTTTGCACTCTCTTCTGAATATGTAAAGTTGCACAGTTCAGAGCAGGAAGTGAGGGAAAAAAAGAAAAAAAGAAAGATGTATCTACCATAAATGGATCTTTTCCCACAGTCTGAAGAATGCACCTGTAGGATTTTAAAAACTAAATAAAGGACTCAATACATACACTGAATAATTCCCTCAGAAAGCAAAACCATGCCATGTGGTACTTATCTGTATTTACTATCCTCTTGCACTATGAATTTAATAAGTGTACATGCTATTGAGGGGAGAAGAGACAAGATGGGGAAAAAAGCAGTTAGAACAAAATCTTCAATGTTGCATTAATTTTTTTAGCTATGATGAACCAAAGGCTCTTTACACACTTGACAGTCCTAGGTTACTACTCTAGTGGAGGTGTTCGGGACACGGTAAAAAGAAGAATGGATGCAGACTGAAAATAACACTGGGTGCCACTGCATGGGGTGGCTGGAAGACTGGCTGTTAGGCAAGGAGAACAAGGCTGAGTTGTCATTAGAGAAGTAAGGAAAAAACTCCAGCATCTACACCTAAGCATAACCGCTGGAAATTAAATGTGTGAAGTTTGTGCTGCTCATTTTTATCAAGTCACAGCAAGGCTGGAAAATCATCAACTGTCCTGCATTTTTAGCCAGCAGCTCTCCTACCACATGGACTGTTTACATCTCTTTGAGTGTGGCACAAGAGAAAACCATCTAGTCAGAGACCAAACTTGTCTACCCTGAGAATATGTAATTTGAACAGAGAAGAGACCATACTACAACTATCTATCAACAAATTCTAGTAGACTAATTACCCGCTCTCCCCCTTCTTATTTGGCTATTTATAAAGATGAAATACTTGAGACAACATACCCATCATTGTGCACATATTTGAATTCTGTTATGAAATATACAGAACAAACAGAGGTGGTAATTTAAGAACACAGAACAGATACAGCATATGTACAATTTTCAAAAACTTAAATGTACATGTAGATTAAAAAAGAAGCGGAGTCTTTTCACCTCCTGAAGCAGATGGGATATTGCCATTGATTTCAGTGAGGTCAGGTTTACAGTCAGGAACTCTGCCATTTTTGTAAGCACCTGGGAGGCCCACTGCAACACAGTGAACTTTATGCACTGACAGTAACATAAAGACTAAAAAAATCTACATGTGCTTTGGTAATGTTCTCTTCCAAATGTAATCAACTAAGTATGCTGCACTAACATACCAGCAAATATATTCCATTTGTAAAAAAAAAAAAATTAAAGTGAAAGTTGATTTTGCAATAGCATAAATTTCACTGTAGTACTTTACTTTTAAAGAGGAAAAAAGGATCACCATGTTTCCAATATTAACTCTTAAAGTGCGCGGACTAGCAAAATTCGATCTTCCAGGTTTCTAAAGGGTATGAGGGGGGGGAGAAACCACACAGTATTTAAGTCATTTCATCTCCACATAAGTGACTACAGCAACTATATAATGAAGACTTTATTTTTACTACCTGCTCATTACTTTTGATTTCTGACCCTCTGCCTCCACAAAGATTATCTTCATTATTGTTTGCACTCATCGCACCGTTGCTTAATTCTGGAGACCTAATTATGTTTGATCCATATCTGTTCCCACTGGGTTTTGTTGTTAACACTGAAGCCATCTTGTTAAAATGTGGTAAAGAATTTTCATTTGACCCTTGAAAAGTTTCAGAAGAGTCTTCCAACGCCATGTAATTGTCTAGCATTTTTGCTCCAACAATTGATTGATTTGGGCCTTTTAGCATACCAGCTGTATTTGGCGTTTCAGAGGTAGCATCAGAACAGTCTTCTTTGTGATCAGATGAAGCAAAACCTATATTTTTACCATTAATAAGTGACATATGTTCCTCTAGATTCATGCCAGACACCTGTGTGTATACACATGGAGCTTCTAAATGAAGATCATTAACCTGGTTATTCTTTGGTTCTATTTTTGGTGGACTGCTAATAGCAAATGAATTAAGATTTCCCTTTGAAAAAGCAACCTCATTATTATTGTCTAGAGGTAGTGACTCTTGTGATAGCAAGTGAGTTTTCCTAACTAGTTGTCCACTGTTGGTTACGGAAGTGAAAAAGTTACTTGTATCTGCAGGTTCAAGTGGTAGCTTTGGAAAGGTTTTAATTTTTCTCAAAGAACCTTTCTTAAAAATGCCATCTCTCTCCAGGTCAATAACACATGATTTTATATCCAAAGCAACACTAGCAAAACTGTCAGTATACACTCCACGTTCGTCCTCTTCTTTGCTCTTCTTAGCTTGAGTTGCAAGTTGAGAATGTTGAGTTTTCTCATTATCCAGATCAATTTGCATTTCCTTTAAACCACTTTCTCTGTCAGTCACCACAGTAACTACAGAAGAGTCCTTGTGACAGGTAGTTGTCACATCTTCCACTGCAGATGTATCACCTGCTATGTTGTTTTTCTCATTTGAATATAATTTCGATCCCAAACTTCTCTGACACATTCTTCCCTTCCACATGTTATCACAGACATCTAGATGCAAAAACAGATGCTTATATTAAATGTGTATTTAAGCCTTCTAATCTTTCCTAGTAAATCATTATATTGCTTTTTCAGCCACTGCTCTTACATACCTTCAGGATGTTACACAAATTAATTATTTCTGGATAAGTCACTTTTAATCATACAGGACACTCTAAATATATTAATTATGTTCATTAAGAGTTGTATGTCCCCTGATCCCCACCCCCAATCCACAAATATTTAATAATAACTTTTTGATATCTAGAAAGGAACATATAACAGGAAAGTACACAAACATTGTATTTTAAAAATCATTAGATAAGTCATGCAATATAAAGTTCTAGACTAAATACATTTTAAGGTTACCTTGAGAAGCACCAAATGATTCAATTGAAAGAACTCTTCTTCCAACAGCAGACAGGCTTCGACAAATATTACTTGATGAAGCAATCTTCAGTTTTTCTTCACATAATGACAAAATGCTCTAGAGAAAATTAGTGTTAAATATTTATTTAACAATGAACAGGTTTATGAATTTTGATTAAAGTGAATCATGTTAACTCACACAGTGCGTCTGAATTTATATGATACTACATTGAAGTACATTTCTTTCACTGTTCACTATACTGTATGTTTCTATTATGTGGTTGAATTAATTTCATGATAGCCTATGATAAAAATGAGAAATTATTCAATACAGTTCAAGTTCTAGCTTATGGCTAGAACACTAAGAACAACTGAGAATATAACAAAAATAACAATCTTAAATGATACCTTTTATGAATAACATACTGAAAATATAAACACAGAGTGCATATTATTTTTCAAACAGCTAGTGGTCCACTTGAATTAAGTGACATATGCAGGATAATAAATGCTTTTGTTACTGAAATTACATTAGAAGTAAATTCTGAATCTTTTAAAAACTACAAAATACAAATATTTAGAAAGAACTATTTCCAATTAGATAAAGCAATCATTATCAGATCACAAGAAGAAACAGTATTACATCTCTAATCTGTAGCCTGAGCATCATTTGATGGCATTAGCACTGGTCTCACACACAATTAATTACAGACATTCACACATTTAAAAAAAAATGTCACTTTGGGCAGGAAGTAGAAAAGAGCTGCCTTTCCAAATGCATCCCACTGTTTCCTTAGTAACTGTTCTTAGATACTGATGAGACCTCAAAGAGCTCTGAGGAGCTGGTCTTACTGCCCCATTAACCTGCTCAACTGCTCTTCTGCTGTTGTTAGTGGAAGGAAGAAATTGTCTCTGTTGGTTCACATATCAGATTGAGGAAGGACAGGAAAAAGTGAGACAGGTATCCAGCTGTGATGGAGTCCAGTGAAATGCCTAGAACAGTCTACAGATTTTTCTTCCATATAGCTCCCCTGACTCCTTCCCTCTCAAGAAAGGGCCAAGTGGAAGAGGAGCGGAAAAAGATTACAGATAGTCACAAAGTGACCTTCATATATTACCCTAGACCAGCCTTGACACACTCTATTTTTGAGCTGAAAGAAGTAGTCAGCAATAGCTTTCAGGGACTACAGGCCAATTGGAGATGATAGGGAGTCCTATACAATCCCTTTCCTGATTGTGCTTGAAAGTAAACAAATAGAAATACAGGATTTGATCAAGCAGGCTCTATTGACCTCAACCAGGGAGCCAATATTATTTGTTTTATAAAAATGAATCTCTTCATTCTTCTGTTGTAGCACTCTTTCTGCAAGATATTGATTGTAGGTGCTATACCATTTAGAACATACACGATCAGCTCAGAGAAAAAAAAAAACAAAACAGACATGTAAATAGTACTATTCTGAAGTAGAGGAACTGAATCCAAGAAAAGGCTCATTTGGACAACTGTTATTTGCTGGATACAGTCTGAAAGTCTGCAAAACCAATGTATTAAAGCTAAACTTTCACACATTAATGTCAAGTAACACTATATTAGGTAAAAAACATTTAGAATGTAAATTATTTAAAAACATCATCTTAAAAAAGCTTATATATCTTCAAATTCTTCCTAAAAACTAAGGTAAAATAAGAGGCAAAATGGAATAAAATACAAAACCAATTAAGATCTAATGAAATACTACTAAACATTTATATATTCACAGAAAAACTAGTCAGCAGCCATGCTTTGTACAACACTGCTTTGAACATGCCAAGGAACAGAGGTTTCCTGGGACATGGCTCCCTCCATCCCCTTCTTAAATGCAATCCAACATCATTTGAGGCACCACACAAATTTCACAGCATAATGCCTGCACTCTTACTTCTAACAACTCTCTCTGTAAAGTAGATATTAAATGGGAAAGAAACAGTTAATGAGCAAATTTAGATTGACAAGTGTATTCACCCAAACTTCTTAAAAATCAAACCACCATTAAACATCTACATCTGCTTTTCAGGTTGTAGCTCCATTAGAGTATGAAGAAAGAAGAATTTATGCTGAGACTGGGAAAACCTAAGGTTTCTTGTAAAGTCTGAGTATATTACATATAAAGACCATCTCTCTATTAATAAGCACTCATACAGAAATATTTTTGTCACTTTTTTAAAACAGAAAATTACATAGTGTTGTTTTACCTCGATATCTGGCCTATTATCAGGATTCTCTTCTTGCATTTGTTCCAGTAGAGTATGCAGATCTTGACCAAATTCTGATTCTGTCTCAGGTTCTACCACATATTCTATTGCTGCTTTTAATGTTGCACCTAAAGAATAGATGTGTGCCTGCATGAAGTTTAAAAAAAAGGCATTAAGTATGCTATCAATTCTCTCTCTCTTTCCAAAAAAGCTCAAAGATCACAAGGGATACAGCTTACATTGTTTTAATTTTTAACTTACACGGTAACAATTTACTGGAAAGGTGGTTTAAACAGGAAGAACAAAATGGGCTTCAGTCCTGCTTTGGGGGATATGCTTGTTGCAAACAAAAAGAAATAACCCTGTTGGGTCCAGCTAGAACCCTTTTTCTTCTTCACTAATAATCAGTATTATAATTGTTCATCAACTACGCTTAAATATAAAGCTCAGCCCCCTGTGTATATGCAAGTAATATTTAAGTTAGGAGCATGCTGGGAGATTGAAGTGAGATTTTCCCTCTTAGCAGAGAAAAAATAAATATTATTTTGACAAAAAAATGTATATATAGCAGTATTTTATAAGTGCTATCAAGCATAAAGTGAGCAGAAACAATTCAGTATAATATCACTTGTCTCTGAAGGCACTTATGAAAGAATTTTAAGAAATACTTCACATTTGCCACCCTCTGCTTCTCTTAAAGCCCACAACTTTGTGATGAGCTCCAATAAAAATGGAGGTGAGCCAACAACTTTCTTAAATTTAGTGCTAATACATTAGATTTGACATACAACACAGCTATCTCTTAATTTTAGAAGTTTTCTGATTCTTAAAAAAAAGACATTTTCAGATCTGCTTTAGTAGATAAGTGCAAGTCTGTGCAAACGTTTCAATGGCAATGCAGCAAGTCAGGAATTCAAGTGTACTGAACACTGCCCTCTGAGGTTTACAAATATGTACATAAATAAAAGAATGACCAGATTTGTACATTAAATCTGGTTGAACTAATACATTTGCTATATGCTTTACTATTTTTCACCCTAGAAAGAAGACTGACTCTAAGATCAAAACTAATTTTCTCTTTCTCCCCTCTCCCCCAACTTTCTCATTAAGGTGTATTATTTTCTCTAAATTGTATGAAGGGGAGGTGACTTGTTCCGCAGGTATGCATATATATTTACTTTCTAGGGAGGCAGGGCATCTCCATGAAGGGGAGTGTAACACTACTTCATTTGGAAGTGCTGCGTGTGTGTGTAGCTTGGACATTTGCACTTCTACCCCTTCCTCCATGCCCCACCCCCCCAAACCAAGAAAGATAAAGTAGTGTTGACTACTGGATCTAAAGCCTTAGTTTACCCTTGGGACAGATCAAGATTAAGACAAAAGTCAGCAAAAAAAACATATGTTATCTGATCTAAAAAGAAAAGATGAAAACATTTTTCTGCAAAGCAGTAACTTCAGTCTCAAGTTCTTCACTATTAAACAACTTTGCCATTAAGCAGAAGAAACAATTGAAGACTTTTTCTTTTGAGAATCTCAGAGGAACTCAGACATGAATTTTTATGATTTTTATTTTAATTTAGCAGAAGAATGAATAACGTTCATCTATTCCAAGAGCAGGGGTTACTTCCCCACCTGCGTGCCCTCTCACCCCACTTAAACTACTATAACCCACTTAGTGACAGTAGCCCTGCTGAACTACACTGTTGAGAGACTGGCATGAGTTGCTTGTTTGGTTTGGTAGTTTTTTTGTTTGTTTGTTTGTTTTTAAGATAAACCTGACTATATCAACAAAAGGATACAAACTATGAAGTCAGCCTAAGCAAATAACCCACTAACAAGATGATGGGAAGACAGTTATTTCTTCACACTTCCTGAAGTTATCATTACCCCTACCCATACTTACTTCAGCTGCAGAAAATGATCTCCACCCTGGACTAACAGAGCTCCTCACAAAAAAGTACAAGTCTTATTAATAGGAGTTTGGAGGATGATGTTCTTAGTCTGCACAAAATAACTGGCTATAAAACTAAGTAGGTATAATTTAACACCTTTATAAGTCTGCCCAAGATGGAAGGTCAGTAACTGCCTGGAGTCAAAAAAAAAAAAAACAAAAAACTCTAGATTTATACTTTACTGTATTAAAATCTGTGGAAGAAATTTAATCAGAATTCCTTCTTCAACATCTAAGAATTAATGAAGATGGTTTTAAGTTTTTTTTTTTCTGCAGACTGTTTCATAAGCTTTTGAGCAGTGAAGGGGAAATGTAGTGTAGAACTTATTTCTTTACTTTGATATTAAATACTCTGTGTCAGTGAGCTATATCATTTTGCATTTCTCAATGGACAGCATAACAGAATACTGAGCATAAAGTTAAAAAAGAACAAGGAAACAATGACAAACTCTATAAAATATAATACAGCTCTATTTAATTTTTTTTTTGTATAAATGTAATGTTGTACCATGGTAGTTTAATCTGCTCAGCATTAGTAAGTTATTTCATGTATTTGATATGATCTGCAACCAGTGACATCACCTCTGTTTTACAAAATTACTATTAAAAAAAAGAAATTAATCACTCCTCTAAGAACTGAAGAAAAAAATCATAATGTACAAGGTATAGATGTACACTACACAGCCTAAGCAATGTCAGAATACCATATGAAATAATGCCATGTAGTGTGGGGACACCTTTGAATTTGGAAGGTACTTCTGAACAAAATAACCAATTTCAGCCTCCCTGTACCACTTTGAACATCAGGAATGGGTAGAAGAATTGCTTTGTTAGGAAAATTTAGTTTTAGATTGTAACATTCACTGTATGTTTGACACTAAGCTTCACTGATGATACTTTAAAGATAATATATTGCTTATATGCTTTTACATCATGGGGCAAAAATAAGCAACACATTATATTTGTACTTTATCAAGAAATATTGCACTTCTATTTATTCAGTATAATGATCTATTTATAGAAATGCTCAGGTTAAAGGCAGAAGCAGTAGCGAAAAAAGAAAACTACTTATTCATTCTTAAAAAAAAAAAAAAAGAGGAGAAAAAGCAACTAAGACTCAGACTCCAGAAACAGATAATGTTGTCACACTTGGCATGTCCCTAACAACCCACATCAAGAGACAGGCTGTAGCCATGAGGTAAGAATGAAAACCAGTCTACATCAAATTGTCAACTTACTTGACGCATTTTTTTTTCTTCTCTGTTTTGCATTTAGCAAACAGAATACTTCAAGGAAACTCAGTGAATTAGAATATGGATGGAAAAAGATTCTTTTTCCTGCCTCCTATTCTTTTTGTACAGTTCAAAAGTGATATTTTACATGTGTCTACAAGCATCACTTTTGAGGCTATTTCATCATTTGGACATTACCTGTACTTTTAAACCTCTCCAAAAGATGTGTCTGATTCCTCAGCACCTGATTTCATTTACAGAATGTAGTGTCCATTCCAAAGACACTGTGCATGAGAATAACCAAGAGTTTATCTAGTCTTTTCTCAGTGAGAAATTTATAAGAAAAAGTATTTCTTTTAATACAGAATAATAAGAAATCATATTTTAATATAATCTCATTATATACAACTCAAATACCCACTCCAAAAGCAGGTCAGAAAGATGAGGAACTTAACTTTGAGGGAACAATAAAAACTTTGCCTTTTGACAAATTTTCTTCATCCACATGAGGATGGATATGGACACTACAGGACATAGGAACAGGAAGGGTAGAGCAACTTATTACCCCATCCCAGTTTTTCCAACTAATAATCTCTGTTCACAGTGGGGTAAAACTCATATCCCCTAGTCTACCTTTAAAAGCACAAGTGTCTGAGATGCAAGTAAATAGGCTTCCACTCCCTCCATTTTGCTGTCCTGTTTTAAAGTTTGCTGTGTCTTTTCTTGTACAGGGGAAAAGTCAGTTTCATACTGAATAAGGTATTTTTTTTTCCCCATACACAGAAAATTGTTCTTTTGAGATAATTCATTTCCTCTGACATCCAGGAAAGCTAGTTTTGAAGACGGTCATTTCAATCACAATACCTTGTAATTAATTTATATGTTGAAATATTTATTGGGAACTTCAATATCTTTTCCAACTCGAAACTTTCTTTAACGTAAATCCCCTTTATACTTTCCCCCTCTCCTAGCTCCCCAAACACCACGACTGCCACAAGAAAATGGGAAAGAAAATCCAGCTATTTAATCAATTTCCTGAGCTGGCAGTAATTATAGTTAATATGTAAAGTAATCCAACATGACCTTACGTCTCTGGTGTGAACTGAAGCAATTAGAAAATCAGTTTATGATCATCCACTAGGTGGAGTGTTCCCCAAATTTATGCATCAAATCTGCTTCTATTTACCACACTGTTTAGGCTTAGGATGAAAATTTAACTTTCTGGGAAAGAAGAGCAAGATGGTAAATGCAATAAAGAAAGCAAATTCATATGTATAAAATATGTAATGCTCACTAGAAGGAACTTCTCTCAATGAAAACAGTCTCACAACTAAGCTTTTTTCATTGTTATAAGAAGAGTAACAAACAAATAGGAAAGGGTAGCAAACAACCCTCCTCCTGGAAGACAAGCAAAAATTGATACTGTATTGGCAGTTAGGAATTTTCTTTAAGAACTAAGAGGTTTGTTTTTTTTTTTTCCAGTGAAGATTTTTCCTTCTTTTCTGAAAGAACCTCACCTGTTTTAAATCTAGCTAAGGAAAATAGCTTATGAATTATAGGAACTGTTGCATTACAGGATAATAATAATAGATGATAAATAGCATGCATTTCAAGAAAGATCCAAAAGAAAAACCCACAACAAAAGCTCTTCACAATTCCTAAAGCAATTTTTAAGTTAAAGACTAAATGGAACTTGTTACAAAAAATACACACATGTGCTGGCAAGACTGCACTACAACATCAGCTTTAAAGAGGATGGGGGAAAGGGAGGAAGTCACATTGGGAAGCTGGATCTCCAGATTCAGTCTTAAAGAGTACATCTACTCCTAGCCAAAAGTTAGCAAATAGAACAAGAATCATAGGTAAAATATTAATTTTGTGCATCACTGGGAAGGCTATCATGGAAATAATGTGTGCTTTAAAAATTAAAATGGCAATATGAAAAAAAGATGTTTGAGAAAAGT